CTTTCCTGCTGCACCTCACGGAGCGGGGACTATCGTTGTCTTCACTCAAGTCGCATTTGGCCGCCATATCGTGGCAGCTCCAGAGAACGGGGGAGGCTTCCCTGTTCAAGAACAGTTCTGTGAAATCCTTTTTGAAGGGTTTCAACAACTTGTATCCCCCGGTCCGGTCTCCGACACCAGGGTGGGACCTTGACCTTGTGCTGACTAGGCTTGGGCAACCGCCTTTCGAGCCACTGATCTCGGTTCGATCTCCGACTCCGGGGTGGGACCTTGACCTTGTACTGACTAGGCTCGGACTGCCGCCTTTCGAGCCCCTGATCTCTGCGAACCTGCGGTTGTTGTCATGGAAGGTGGCCTTTCTGGTTGCCATCACTTCAGCCCGCCGGCCGTCGGAGTTGGCGGCCCTGCGGGTGGACGAACCCTATTTTGTTACCCACGAGGACAGAATAGTTCTCCGCACGGATGTGACATTTCTCCCCAAGGTCGTGTCCCCTTTCCATGTCAATGAAGACATTGTTCTCCCCTCCCTGTGTCAATCCCCCTCGACCTCGAGGGAAAAAGAACTCCATATGCTTGATGTGCGGAGAGCGTTACTCTGTTATAGGGACAGGACTGCCCTATCTCGACGGTCACAGAGACTTTTTGTAGCATATGCTCCGGACAAGGTGGGCCTGCCGATCTCGGCGCAACGCTTGTCCCACTGGATTACCTCGGTCATCGAGCTATGCTACCAAATAGCTCGACAGCAACCGCCCTCGGTCGTCCGGGCTCGGTCGACCAGAGCTATGGCGGCTTCGACTGCTTTTCTGAAGGGGATTCCCTTGGACGCTATTTGCAAAGCGGCCATTTGGAAGAATCCCCAGACATTTGTCACCCATTACAGGTTGAACACTAGGTTTACACCTGACATGGCCTTTGGGAGAGCGGTTCTGGGCTCAGATCCGCTTTAGATATGGGGATGGACTTTGAGATCCGTATCGACAGAATGTCTTGTCTACTCGATACCGTGCATCATTGAATGTGTTGTTGGCGTGTTATTACTTGAAAATTGCCCCTTTTTCCGCGTTGCTGGAAATAAAGCTGCACCTTTATTGTCAATGCCTTGCTACCTGTTAATGGGCCCATTACGGGTGCTCTGGGCCATCATCGATGTTATGTGCCTTACTATTGTGTATTTTCTTCTTGCAATAATTGTGGCTCAATTGCCAAAGAATGTACCCTCATTAGTATGAGTGCCTTCAGTAATCATGTGTTTTTGTTTCAAGGGTCATAAGTTTACTCGATTGTTGGCCACCTTTTGAGTGGCCGGGAGGGGGGGGGGGGGGAAAATTACTCGATTGTTGGCCACCTTTTGAGTGGCCGGGAGGATCACGTACTCCCTTAAGTTCATGCGCTACACCTTTCTTCGAGGGTGATTGCAACCTCTTGTCATGCATTATGCCCTTCTTCGGAAGCGATTACACTCTCTTGTTTGATGACTGTTTTTGCACTTAATAAAATTGTTTGGCCCTTGACTTTAATGGTCGGTTTGCTTCTTCCCGCCTCCGGGACCTGAGCTTGCTAGTCTCCACAAGTGTGCATTCGCAGAGACCACGAAGAAAAATGTTAGGTTACATACCTGTGACCATCTTTCTTCGAGTGGTGCTCTGCGAATTCACACTAACCCGCCCAGCCTCCCCGCAAGCAAACCTCCAATTTCTCGCTACCGTGGCGGCGTAGGAATTGGAGTGGCGGCGCGGGGCGCCCTTTTATCCCCTGCCGGGGCTGGGCGGGGTTACCGCCAAAACTTGAAAAGTTTTAAAATGTAGAAGTTTCCGTTGGAGCCCGCGCAGGCGCAGTCTCTCCACAAGTGTGCATTCGCAGAGACCTCGAAGAAAGATGGTCACAGGTATGTAACCTACCATTATCTCTTCTCACCCTACTGTAAATTCAAACTCTGCTTAATTTCATAAAGACCAAGACAAAGGAATGGTTGCAGAGAGTTCTCGTTGTAATTGCTTTTCATTTGTTCTTCCATTTAGCCACTTGTGCATCTGTGGCTCTATTTGTTTAAAGTCCAAATCTGCTGTTTCTGGCTTTTAAAATGCACACATGTGCTGTAGCAGTCCGCACCAGGGTATACGAATGAAAGCACATGTTTTCCTTGAGTGCAGGGATACACAGTTATGCAAATATGCAAATTTTTCAGCCAAAATTGGGTTTTAGGTGCACTCTTTTAACGTGTTTTTCAGCTGTTAATATCAGTACACATTTTTGGGTTTTATCCTGGTTTCTTCTGTGTTTTAGGACATGTGTAGAAGGGCCCTTAGATTCAATTCATTTATTCTTACTAATATTTTCTTCCCAGATATTGTTTTGAAACATTTGTCCTGAGGCAGAGCACTTCCTTTTTCATCTTTTAAAAATTTCTTGCAATTGTGTTTCCAAATGTTAAACAGTCGTTTATTTGTGGAATCAAAATGTGTAACACAAACTTCACACATCTACATTGAAAAATTGACACACTGTTATACTAACAGTTATATCACTAGAATTCAGTGGTACTACTTCTTCGTAGGCTAGTATGCAGATGTCTATGTTAAATTATTTATGGATGCACATATGCTTTCTGTACAATTGTGAACTGATGCTTATGTATTGTACATTGTAGATGTACTTGTACAGTTTGGTTGAGCATCCAGTTGTGCAACCTCATGATTTACTAAGAATATAACATTACACAACCCCTGTGTAACTCTGTGACTCTGTCCTGTATAACTTTGTGACCCTAAAGTAAGTCTCTGTCAGCTCAATGTAGGCATTCAGCAAACAATAAGAAACAATTATAATCAAAGAATGATTGAATAGTGAAGTTGTGGCAAGAGTGTTGGTAGCACATAGGCAAGAGATGCATTCAGCTTTCTGTACTCATTAATTCTCAGTTTGTCAAAGTGTCTGCTGCTACTGCCCATTTTATTATCAGATGTCTGTTAGCATCTTTTCCAAGTAGGGCATTTTTCTATCTCAACTGTGTCAGGAAATATTCAGTGCTATACTTTTTGTATCCCTATGTAGGCATGGGACGTAAACTTCTGGATGTTCTGCACATCCTTTTCTTTTGGTGAAAGCATATTACAAATCCATGATATTTCTCTCCGTATGAACAGAAATTTCTAGTTGTGAACACAGATCAGTTTCATTTGTCGAAGCCAACTCTGCATTTCATTTATGCTTGCAGGCAAAATGAAAACATTTTAAAGCCCTGCTATTAGGGACCAACAATTAAAGTGATAGGACTTTCCTGACTATAGTAAAGACACTCTACAGAAAAACATTATCATTCTTGTTTTCATATTGTGTGTGTGTGGTTTTTTTTAGTCCCAGTGAGTGGGATACAACAGCTCACATCAGCATCTGGTATGTCTTTTTATCACTGCGGAAACCAGATTGTACACTTCTCTGACTGTTTCAATGTTTATAATATTGTTCTCAGCAGTGTGTTTGTGTGTCTTCAAGTTGTCTGTCAGCGTATGGTGACCCCATGAATTTCATAGAGCCTTCTTAGGCAAGGAGTATTCAGACTCGTTTTTGCCATTACCTTACTCTGAACTATAGCCTTTAATACCTAGTATTTATTGGTCGCCTTCCATTCAGATACTAACCAGGGGTTACCCTATTTGGCTTCCAATACCAGGTGGGATCTGGTGCCCTTAGAGTATTTAGTACAACTGGGATGTAATGAAGGCATAATGTCACTGTGAGGACATCAAATATCTAAGAATGGGCATGGCTGCCATAACAGAAACAAATTGAATCAAAAGCTCACACAAACTGCAAGCCTGTGTCTTTAGGTGAGATATAACTCCATGCACCATAGGCTGAATCTCTGTTCTCTGAACTGCTTTCAGATGGTTAGAAGCAGTTTTGTGTTGTTTGGATTAAGCTTTACTTAATCCTGTCTATTATAGATGACAGGCATGAGTTTAGAACTGAAACTGCTTTCTTGAGGTTTAGTGAAAAGAAATAATAGAGTTGAGTGTCATCTGTGTACAGATAAAAAGGGGACTTCGAAACTCCAGTCAGTTTTCTTCCAGAGGTTTTGTGGTTATGATAAATAGCACGAACAAATTCAAGCCCAAATTCAAGAGGCCTATGGTCAAGGGGTCAAATGGAGTCCCTCATCACCATTTCTGAACTGTCCTTCAAAAACAAACAGAGCTACTATAAAAACACAAAGTTTACCCAGAAGGCTACCATGCTTAATAGCATCAAAAGATGCTGATAGATCCAGCAGAAACAATGCAAACATACTTCCCTAATTCAGTTCCTGATATCGGGGGTCCTTTAAGGAACCAAAATATATCTCTCCTTTCACCAAGCCTGAAACTAGACTGAAATGTGTCTGGACAATCTATCTCATCCAGAAACTGGAAAATCCCACATGCTCCAAAACCTTACAAAGAAAAGGGTCAGGTAAAATAGTAATCCAGAACTGCGGCATCTGCAGTAGGCTTTCTTAATAGTAGGTTTAATAATAGCCTCCTTTAGGTGGGAGATTTTTAAAAAAATATGTTCATGTTAATTACTTTGCCATTAGCAGCCATGAAAAACTTTCTTAAAATTTGGCTTGACTCTTGAGAGTTTATCCATGTGGAAATGGTGCATTTGAGACATTACACCATTTTTTTCTGTATTGTGAATTTAACACCCTTTGATCTCCATATTGTTTATTCATGCCCAGGAAGAAATCTATATATTTGTATTAATATCAGAAACTGACTGAATGGCTGCTGACAAAGAAACCAGATTTGTTGCTGCAGCTGTCTTATATCCTATTTGAAACTTATTTTGTTTCAGTTTAACAAAGTGCATAAAACAAACCCACGCTAAGCCAATATTGTGTGAATGTGCTACATTATATGGGTATGCTTTTATTTCAGTTTTAATTTTATATCTATCTTGTAAATAGATGACAACAGTGTATTATTATATGTAACTGTAATTTCCTAATTTTTCTATAGGAACATCTACTGACTCAGTACCTATATCAATAACAGAAGGTAATTTTTTATCACTGGGAAATGGAAAAAGTTCTGTGTTTCTTCACTTGTTTTCAATATTGATGTCACCTTGCTAGTATTCAGATATTTGTATTTAAGTATTAATTTTGTGTTAATTATTTGTTTTTCTTCAGATACATTTAGTGGGACCAAACATTTCTCAGACACAACTGGGACAAAAAAAACTTTCCCAAAAATTACTGGTATGCTAATTTTTCTTTTTATTAAATCAGTTTAAGTTTGAAAAATATTTTGCAATTGTTATGTTAGATTGACTTTCAATTAATTTGTAACTTTATAACTTTCACTCTTTAGTGCCATTAAATTACATCAGCTTAGCCTGATGAATCAGTTGCTGGCCTACATTCCTTATTTGCTGTCTTAGGAAAATATTTTGATTGTCCTCAGGATTTGTATTTTGAGTACAATAAACAGAATCCAAAGCATTTTAGTCAACTACATTAAAACATGAATTTAAACAAATCCACACTGATGCCAATTGTGACGTCCACATAATATTTTTGGATAAACTCTACCAAATTTACATTCCTTGCAACAGTGACACTCTGTGGGAGCTGGTGCCCACTGTGTCAGAGGAGTAATGCATCCACTGCAAGTTTTAATCTGAACTCTGAGGGATTCATCCAAGGTGATCAACCTATTTGAGAGATGGTTAGGTAGTTGCTTTAAATTTTAAATCTTCAGTAGATCTGCAGATATTAAAGTCATCAGCTACTACTGGTGATACAGCCACAGGGCACACATGTATCTAGTTGTCTTTTCACAGCAAGTACTTGCAAGTATCCATGATTTCTAAGCTAAAAGTGTTAATGCCAAGATTTCAAACTGAACGTTTTAGCCCTTTCAAAAATGCTATTATACACGAGACCACAATGAAAACATTTCCTTTGGAATATCAGCTATAGGCACCGTAATGAATACCAGAGAAGATCCCTTGTCAGCTTCCACAGATCTGATTGGTAAGATATGAAATTTAAACTTTATATGAATTTTATTCTACTTACTGTATATATTTGTGGACATATACGGTGTCAGAATTTTGTTGTGACCTGTGAATAAGTTGACAGTCATTCTATGGAGAGAGGAAATATCAGGAGTCGAGCCATCTCCGGCCACCTCCTATTTCCTGCCCAGACATTCATAAAGGCCAGAAATGGTAGCATGATAGAGAGACTTTTGGTTTTTCTCTTAGGTACTCCTGGGGCAAACTCATTTTAATCTTGTTCCTCTCCTTAGAGAAGGGGATGGTTCTTTTTTTGATTAGAGTTAAGACATGATACTTACATTGACTCATGGATAAATCAGTTCAGGGGTTTTATACCAATTTTTGACTAAAATTTCAAGTTATGCATGGATATAAACAGTGTATAGTTCTTGATTGGCTTGGGCACCTATTTGAAGGATTGTTATTGTTGTCTACTGTCATCAAGTTGACTTTTGCTAACTTCATGAATGAGAGACCTCCAGGTCTAGCTGTCGGAAACAGTGGCTTATTTCACTGTTGCCATCCATGTGGAAGGTGGTATTCCTCTTTTTTACTATCTTTCATCTTACTAAGTTTTATCTAGTGGGTCATGATAAGAATGGTATTCTCAGTAATTTAATCATTGATTCTTGAGAGAGTTCAAGCTTGATTTACCCTAGGACTTATTTATTAGGTTTGTGCATTTTGGCTGAACCTCAATCCATTTCTGCTGGGCAAATTTCAGGAGACCCCCGAATCTGTTTTTGTGCACCTCCCAAAAATGGGTGGGTAGCAGAATAGCCGTTTTCAGTCCCCAGCTGAAAAATGCAGCTAGATCCGGCCCATTGGCAGCAATGGGGGGAGCGGCTCCCCGGGTTCCCCTTCCCATCATTTTTAGGGCTACTGGGATAAAAATAACCACACTCAGAGGACACATCAACCACTATTCACCCACCAAGTTTCATTATTTTTAGGAATTTCTTTTCTTTTTAGAAATAAAATCTCCTTTTAAAAATTGCCCAAAATCAGGAGCAAGAGCAGGGACTATTCCTTCCTGCCAAATGTCAAAGATGTGTTTCTACATCACACAGCCCAGTGCTGATAGAGGCAGACAAGAAATAATGATGATGGTGGTGGTGATTCATTAAAACCTCCAAATGTAGTAAAATATAGATACTCAATTTCTAAAGTGTGCCATTCTCATTTTTATTCTACAGTAGATAGTGCCATAAAATTAAGTATGAGGAAGTCATTGGTTTAACATAAAAACTTATTTTATCCACCCGTATAACTTATTTTTACTGGGTTTTTTTTTTGCAGGGACAAAAGGTTTTGAGAATATTGTTTGTAACTTATCAGCCCTCTGTCATGACACAGGTTAGTAACATTTTTTAAAATGTTCAATTTAGATTTTATAAAGACATTTTGAGTTCAAACTATGCTGTTTGTTCTAAACTTCAAGTAGAATAACATTCCTAATTATGTGTTTCTTTTCATTTTGTTTCCTTTCAGTCTTCTACGTAGGAACTATAAACTTTCAGACCAGTGAGAACAGCTCTGATACATCATACAACCTCACATTAGTAAGACTACTGTGATAATTTGCTATTCTATACTTGCTATTTGTTAGGCAATATTTTGAAGGAAAATGTTTTTATTCTGAAAAGGAACTACTGGATGTGTTCTTATCTGATTGAAGGAGTAATGATTAATATTGAAGTAGCATAAAAAGTTAGTGAATGGTAGGAAAAATGAACTACCTCTGATTGTTTCAGTTTGGTACAAGAAAAACTAAGTTACTACTAAAGTAAATAGCTTAATTATTTGCTTTACTTTAAATAACAGTATAGTTGGGTTGTTGTAGGTTTTTCGGGCTGTATGGCCATGTACTAGAAGCATTCTCTCTTGACGTTTCGCCTGCATCTATGGCAGGCATCACAACCTCTGAGGATGCCTGCCATAGATGCAGGTGAAACATCAGGAGTGAATGCTTCTAGAGCATGGCCATACAGCCCGAAAAACCTACAACAATCCAGTGATTCCGACCATGAAAGCCTTCAACAATAAACAGTATAGTTGCATCACGTTTTCATTCACAGTATTTGCTTTATTTCTATTATACTGATCCATAATATGTTTGGTTATAACTGTGTGTCTTTACTATGAACTTCAAATACATTGAGGGTTGGGCTTACACATCCTGGCCTGCAACTATGTTATATTTGGAATAGTTTCCCCTTAACATTGCACCAGTTGTTTTTTTTTAGATTTTTGTAAAATCTTCTGAGGAAAGGAATTATCCAAACTCTTGCACACTACACATTTGTAGCACTAAATGTGTTGTGTGAAATAAGTTTTTATGTTTGCATTCACTTGAATGTGAGTGGGACATTTCAATCAACATAGGCCCCATTTACACTGCCATATAATGCAGTTTCAAAATGCAGATTGAACTGTATTATATGGCAGTTTAGATTCATATAATCCATTTCAGTACAGTTAAACTGCATTCTGAAACTGCATTATATGGCTGTGTAGATAGGACCTTGACAAAGGATGGCCTCCACTCACACTGTACTTCAAGTGAACGCTGCAAGAAGGACACTCTTTCAACCATACACTGTTCAAAGGGGGATGATAGAGAATGCAAGGACATGGAAATAAATTATTCCCTCTGCCATTTATATTGCAAATCCCTTTATTCAAATTGCTGAACAGGAATACATCACTATTATGACAACAGTCTGATATACATTGTTCTAATGCTGAATCTAAACTGCCCTATAGCCCAGGATCTGACCCCAGATTATTTGCTTTGAATTGGATTATATGAATCTACACTGCCAAATAATCTGGGATAAGACGATAATATGGGATCAGATACTGGGATATAGGGCGGTGTAGATCCAGCCTAAATGTCCATTCTCTTAGGATGCTGGGAATGTATCAAGATGCAATACATTTATTGATGGTTCAATTTTCTAGCACTATGGTGACACCAATCAATACCAATTAAAAGCCGCTTCGGTTGCTCGGCTAGAAATGAAGTAAGTCATTTGTTTTATTTTAACAGAAGATAGATCTTTGTCCTGACTTTGTCTTTGTCGTGTATTCAGATCACATTTCAGTTTGAATATTGTTTTACTATCATTCATTCTATAACAAAAAGTTACACTTCGGCACTATTTTAGATTTGTTATAGAGCAATGTAAACCTTTACATGCCTACTCAGAAGTAAATTTTATTGGGTTCAGTGGGTCTTTTTGTCAGATAATTGAGTAAAAGTGTTAAAGCCTAGATGTGCCAAAACCTGAGTTGGAGCCAGCAGGATGTTGTTACATCCACATTTAGCTCCATAATATAGCAACTTGGAACACATTTAGATACATTCATTATTTTTATTGTCATGTGTGTGTGTATAGGCAGTCCCTGAGTTACAAACATCCGAATTACAAATGACTCATAGTTACAAATGGGGGTGAGACAACAGAAAGTGAGAAAAATCTATTTCAAGGAAGGGCAATTCACTCCTGAAAGAGTTATCAGGGGGAAAGAGGGTTTCTACTGTAGCTTTATCACCAATTCTTATTTCCACAACAACCCACATTTTTCAAATTCCAATTCTCACAGGGACAGAAAGTGAGGTGAAAATTTCTGAACAGCATCACAGACAGCAAAGCAAACACCATAAGAGTGTTAACCTTTTCCTATGCTATCCAAAGCTAAAAAAAATGTATATATTTAGCTGGGGTTGTACTGAAAAAATGTACCTATTCTGACTTACAAACAAATTTAACTTAAGAACAAACCTATAGAATCTATCTTGTTCATAACTTGTGTACTGCCTGTATGGAGATATATATGTGTGTATGTGTATGTGTATATCAAAATTCAGATAAATATCAGTTACTATAGACAAATGGCAATAAAGTTATAGGTTTACCTGTTTCCTCCTAAATCTTTTTGTCATTCATAAACACAATACCCATTGGCTTGGAGTCTTCCAAGTGAAACTGAAAAGCCACTTTAGAAAAATGGGGATCTGTCTGGAGTGGCATGGCTGTGGTACGTTGTGTCAAGTTGTATCATTGTAGGTATGGGGATTGGTGGCATTCCCACTCACCACCCTCTAATTCACTGCATTCTCACCACACCAAAATTGCCCCCAGAGTGGGGATTGACGATAGTCTATTAGCAAGACATGATTCCTAAAATTGGCGATTAAACTATGGATATTTTATTTTAGAATTTCAGATTTCAACAAAACACTTCAAAATTTAAGTCAGGTAAGTAAGAAATCCAATAATTAAAATAATTGATTATTGGGGAATGAAGCCCAATTTTTGGATGCATATATATTGGCTAGCTTAGGTACCCAGAGATGCTCAGGTTAGGTATTTTGAAGTGCTATTTGTTAGAAATAATTGTTGGTTTTGGATTTTATGAATGGTCCCATTAGAGATTATATACAGTTGTGGGTGGGTTGCAACTCCCATTGTCATCTGTCATTACCCCCAAACCCTGACAGTACTGAAAGTTGGTCATGGTGGGTCTGTGCGCTAAGTTTGGTCCAGATCCATCACTGGTGGGGTTCCCAGTGCTCTCTGGATTTGGGAGCCATCTTGGAAAAAACATACAAACATAGATACATATATATATTGGCTTTATTTATCCAGATAATAATAACTGTAATATTTATTTTAATTTTCTTCTCTTGTAGTCATATCTCCTGCGATGTGAAAAAGTGAACCAGAGGTGTGCTATTTTATATAACTGTTTCATTATTTATGATTGTGCCAACGAATACACAAGTCCCATAAGTACTAGCACTTTCAAATGCAGCATACCTCCAGTACAGTAATAGAATGTTAACTATGCAGTTCTATGAATGTCTACTCAGAATTAAATTAATTTCATGTTTAGACTTAGGTCCCATACACCAAGATCACATTATTTACATATATATAAAAAAAATCCAGGGTAAGGAAAGGCAGGAGCGCCCCTCCCCCCAATATCTGGATTAAAGCATTTTGTATAAGACTACTCAATTTATATAGTGTGGTACCAGAAAAGTATTGTAGCTTAAAGCTGTTACTGCTGTTAAAGGAGTGTAGAAATGCCTGGAATAAAGGATGTTTTTAAACAATGGGGATGCTTTTGACAAACTGTTCAAGGAAATAATGCCATCTAATCTAAACTGGAGCCCCTGATGGTGCATCAGGTTAAACTGCTGAGCTGCTGAACTTGCTGACCAAAAGGTCAGTGGTTTGAGTCCGGGGAGCAGGGTGAGCTCCCACTGTTAGCTCCTGCTTCTTCCAACCTAGCAATTTGAAAACATGCAAATATGAGTAGATTAATGGGTACTGCGTCGACTGCGTATGCAGTCATTCCAACCACATGACCTTGGAGACGTTTACAGACAACGGCGGCTCTTCAGCTTAGAAATGAAAATGAGCACTACCCCCCAATGTCGGACATGACTAAACTTAATGTCAAGGGGGAACCTTTACCTTTATCTATAGTGGAAGATCTCTTGATTACAGGACTAAACTCCAGAACAGACTACCACACCTTCAAAAATCCCAGTAGATATTGAAATTGCCGGTTGGGGAGGAGTTGGAAGCCACCTGAATTCATGATTTTAAGCAGAGATTTAATTTGATTTAAGTCGCGTCAGATCCAGCAACTAACAGCAAATCTCCAATGACATATTAAGCCAAAGCTACTGATAGTATATACTTTTAGTTGAAAGGAAAGTGAAAATGCAAAATGCAAAACTATTTCTAAATTTATATATATATACACACACACACACACACACACATATATATATTATATACATACATACATACACACACACACACACAGTTAGTGTTGTAGACTTTACTTTTAATTTTCTTCCATTTTCCACCAGTACATCCGAATGCAGTTTCATAATAAAGCTGCGGAAAGAAATGAATATAAACAGTACATTGTCCCTTTTGAAAGAAAAAGCAGAAATTGGCCCAGCTGGTAAGTAGTCACAGATATTTCATTCTAGATGGTAGGTAACCAAGGCCACAATGTTTTCCAGTGTCAATATTTTTGAAGGATATTTGCATCAAAGTACATTCAACCAATATATTTGGGATGGTGGGATGTTCATTTTACTGCCAGGGGATTATGCTATGTAACACTTGTGCAGTATGGAAACATTAGCAGAATGCATAGAGAATGGTAGCTATCATCCGGAATGGGGCAATTGTGGAGTTGGTTACCAAAAGCTACCACATCTAAAAACAATTGAAACATGAGTTGTAGGTGGCAGCACATCGTTGGCTAGAAGTAGAATATTATGTACAGATCAAAACTCTCAAAATGTATCACATCACTTTGGTACAGGGCTTGGAAAATGGCTCTTTATAGTAAAAGAATGCATGTCTTTAGCACCTTTTTAAAGTAAAATTTGTTCATATTGATTTGGTACCTTTTGGAAACAAGCTCAACAATTGTATCATTAGATCATAATGACTTAATTCTTTGTACAGTGTTCATTTTGAATGGTCTACGTATTGACAAACAGTAGAAAAATTCACTACTAATTAATAAAGTAATGCATATTTTAAATATTTTTTTAATTTCAGAGTCATGCTGTTGTTCACCTTCGGGTCTCCACTTTTGTCCTTCAACCGTTGAAGAGCTGCAACTACTGCAATGGCAAGTGTGACTTATAATTATACTAGCTTCATTCAGGGGATTTGGATGCATTGATCAGATAGCCAAATAATTTCCCATATTGGTTTGCATGGTGTTTCTCAGTAGTGAAGACCAGGAGTAAAGTAGAATGCAGCCTGACATCCTAAAATATCTCAAGTAGCAGTTTGGGAATGAGTTTTCTGAACCAGTCTCTGTTTTCCCCCTTAGCTTAGCCCCTCTCCAAATGTCTCATTCTGAGCCTGGATTGGCCCTCCCTAATTGATATTTAGTATTTAAAAAATTGAAACATGCAAGAACCAACTGCACATTTTATGTCCTTAATAGCCATGTAAATTCATAGACAGCATCATGACAGATTTGTATCTTACAATGTTTTGCAAGTTGTGGCATTCTACCACCTGAACAAAAGGTAAGGCATAAACAAATAGGAATAGCAAAATATATTGTGCAGGCAGAACTAAATGCGAAAATGCGTTGTCGAAGGTTTTCATGGCCAGAATCACTGGGTCGCTGTGAGTTTTCCAGGAACATGTTCTGGAACATGGCCATACAGCCTGGAAAACTCACAGCAACTCAAAATATGAAAAATTCACAAAGGAAAAATCTATCATACTGTGGTGGAGGACATGGAGCTTTTCTTTCCTTTTCCCTCCTAACTTTGAATATACACATGGGCTAAAGCAAAAGAATTAGAGCAGGGGTCCTCAAACTAAGGCCTGGGGGCCGGATGCAGCCCTCCAAGGTTATTTACCCGGCCCTCGCTCAGGGTCAACCTAAGTATCAAACTATTTGAAAGCACAAAATAACAACAACAATCCTCTCATCAGCCAAAAGCAGACCCACACTTCTCATTGAAATACTAATAAGTTTATATTTGTTAAAATTGTTCTTAATTTTAATTATTGTATTGTTTTAAAATGTTTTTTGCACTATAAATAAGATATGTGCAGTGTGCATAGGAATTCATTTGTGTTTTTTTCGAATTATAATCTGGCCCGCCAACAGTTTGAGGGACTGTGACCTGGCCCTCTGTTTAAAAAGTTTGTGGACCCCTGAATTAGAGACTGAAAAAGCAGAGTATGGTTCTCTTATTGTGACTGACACATCAGGATGATCTGATAGGATAAAACGTGTGAATAGACCCATGAGGAATGTATATGTTCTAAATAGTTCTAAATAGTTCTAAATAGTTGTATCTTACGTATAACTCATTCTTACTGCAAATTTTATTGATAAACATGTCATCAGGTATATCTAGATTTATTATTATATCTAGTAAAGAATATTCCAGGATTGTTGTAGGTTTTTTCGGGCTCTACGGCCATGTTTTAGAGGCATTTTCTCCTGACGTTTCGCCTGCATCTATGGCAAGCATCCTCAGAGGTACCTCTGAGAATGCTTGCCATAGATGCAGGTGAAACGTCAGGAGAAAATGCCTCTAGAACATGGTCATAGAGCCTGAAAAACCTACAACAACCCAGTGATTCTGGCCATGAAAGCCTTCGACAATCCAATATTCCAGGAGCCACAACAGAAATTAGTAAAAATAGATCTGATTTTTATTACAGTGTGGCCCCTTTATCCATGGGATTGGCATATGCGGTGTTATTTATCCATTAATGTCATAACCATCAGTCATTTTGAACCATAACTCCTTTGTTTGGTTGTGGCATTTGCTTGGACAGATGGACACCTGGCAGACCAAACAGCATTTCCACTGACAATTAGAGTCATGGTAGACCAAACAGCAGGAACTCTGCAAAGTTTTATTGGCATACAATAAAGGGTAATTGCCCCTATTTTTAAGTAGCAAAATTTTCCTTGCAATGGAGATCAAGGGATTGGTGGGTTTTATGATCCTAGGTTAAATTAATGAATATGTTATACATATGTAAGGCATTTCAGAACCATCTTTAGTCTCGAAAAAATCAATATTTGGTATTAGCATCGCTTCTGTCTGGCTATGATGATCCTTGTAAATAAAACTTCTCTCTGTAGTGCCACAGGAGGTGCATAAGGGAACTTTGTAAATTCTAACAAAACATACAGCTCTAGGCATTTTCTAAGCCTTCCATTTCTGTGGCATTTTGGGGCCAGAAGTCCTTCATTTAAATAGGTTTTGTGATTATCTGAAGTTTTGTGTATCCACATGAAGTTTGGGAACATATTTCTCATTGATACAAGGATTGTGCTGTATTATAATAATAAACATGTATAAGTTATCATTTCTTTAAAGCACTGTGTACCTTTTTTCACTTCAAGTTGCTGCTCAGCCATCACCAACACTTCATGTATTTTTTCTCAACAGTGGAATGCATGAAACACTTGCCTGCAATGGTCCAAGTACTCGTGTCTCCCCAGTTTCATCGGTGGCTCCTTCCGCTGTTGTAACTCACTATAAAGCCTCTTCCTCTGAACCAGCTGTTGTCTCTCATATTCCACAGGCAGAGCTGACAAAAGGAACTTTTTCTAAAGGTCGTCCTCAGATAACAATCACTCAGATACCAACCACTCAGATACCAACCACTCAGATACCAACCACTCAAATACCAAACACTCAGACATCAAACACTCATTCTACTGAAAATAAAACTACACCTACCCTGCCTGCAAAGACTGTAGTTACTCCAGTCCCTTCTTTTGAAACATCTAACTCATTTACTTCAGCAATGTCACCGATCAGTTCTACCACTACTTCAGCAGAGAATTCTACCACACCATTCACTGTAGTACCTACCATGATCATTTCTGCTGAGATGACTTCAGGCCCTGGCGATACTGGAAGTCCTAATCAACCCAGCACAGGTAAAGGGCTTTGGAAATTCTCTTGATAAGAGATCTGGTGCATGCTAGCAGTCTGAAGTGTTATGTGAGACTGGAAATGTGGAACTTGCTCCATGTGGAAAGCTACAATCTGAAGGTCTTAGCATTCTGTAATGACCATTCAGGTCATTTACTTCATGAGCCATTGCATAGTGATCAAGATCCCACTGTTATCTGCAGATTGAGTAGTATGGTGCACAATGTAAAGTAATGAGAGGGCAGCTTTGTAGTCAACAGTTATGGTTTCACCACCAATCCTCTCAAATTACCACATGGTGGAAGTGGGATTTTCCCTTCCCACTCTCTTGATGAAAGTAATAGAGGAAGTCATCAATAGATTCCTCTAGGAAGCTACCTCACCAGCCACATGTTCCCCTATCTTGGTCTACATAAATGGACCAGACCCTGATGTGGACCAAGGGAGGAATTCAAAGAGTTGTCATAAATGAGGCAGAAATATATTTTTGGGGAGAACGTTTTTTACGCTTTTTGATGCACTTATCTAGTAATGCCAATTCATTGCAATAAGACATGTCACACCCTGAACTGCATGATCTTGCTACTGAACAATAGGTTAGAAAGCAAGAGACATGAGAAACATAGCCCAACCAAGGGTGCATCTACAAACTGTAGAGTTAATGCAGTTTGACACCATTTTAACTGCAATGGCTCAATGTTATGTTAAAGTGGTGACAAACTGCATTCATTCTACAGTGTAAATAATACCCCATTAGAAAGGTCCTAGGAAATACATGCAGCTAACATGCCATATTTTGTGTGTTCCTATTTTAGAGTATGGAATTGGAGAAAGCGCTTTGCAGATGTGTGCTGAAGTTGCTACCATTAGATCTTTTAATTCACTAGAACTAAATCAGCTCCTTCTTAAAGCACCTCCCCCATCAAACAATATATACATCTTTGTTTCCTGTTTGTGTATTGTTCACTTTTGTGCTTAGAAACATACTTTTTGTTTTCCCTTCCATCTATTTTAGATAACAAACCACCAAATCCTCCTAATCATACTGTTAGTAATAATGCCACAGATTTTGAGAAAATAGTTTCCCAGCTGGAGTTTAATTTGACTGCTGAAACTATAGAACCATCTCTTGCGAAATCGATGATGGAAAGTGTTAGTTATCTTCTACATAAAATTCCAGCACAGATATCGCCAATGTCCAAAAGGTATGTCCTTTTATAATTTGAAGAACTTTTGTAATTGTAGCATGATGCAACTTTATCTGTTTACATGTGTTTTTAACACTATTGACCATAATTTTATGCTTCATCTCTCTAAAAAGAATCGCTTTACCAAGCCAAACATGTTGTACTTAGATTAACAGAAGCTATCTTATATTATACTAATGGCTAAAATAGTCAATTTCACATGGAATCAAGCCTACTATGCCATTCTATTTTGAATGGATTGGGAGGAACCAGCCTTCCGTGGTGTGATGAGTCCAAGCACAGTATTTTCAATCATAAGAAATATGTGATACATACTGATATAAATGGATTATATCCCAATGTGATAAGGTACTAAGAACCTCACCAAACTACAATCCAAAGACTCCTAAGAATCTCCATCCTAAAATAGCTCTGAAAAAAATGGTATAAATGTGATATAAGTGTGTGTGGCCTTACTGTCTTGAAATTTGGGGCTCTAGTACACTTATATTGGAGATATGATTGGCATACAAGTAAAACCCAGCCAACTGCACAATATGACAACTGTACCTTCCACTCTTTTTTTCCGTTCTGCCCTTTCTCTTCCTTCAACTCTGTGACTCATTCACTGCTTCCTTGATCTCTGTCCACATATAAAACACCAGAAATCGAAATGGTCTCTTTTGGTACAGATAAGGTTTGCCAAGTAGTGGAATACCTAAAAGTAAAATGTATTGTTTCAGCGACAGTTGGCCAGAAGTGTAACTTCATCCTCTAGCACCATCTAAACCATCTCCAAAATGCTGAACTTTAAGATAACCTCCCGAATCTCAAATGAGTGGATATAACAGCCCAGAGACAAAACATCTTTTTTGTTGGAGCCTATGAGATCCTCATTTTTAATGATACATTTTTACTGGTATTTCTACATTGTCCTCAATATTCAGTTATCATACAGTATTTATAATTTACATTAATGAGTTACAGGTGGAACAGTGAATGTTATGTATTTTTCCTGAATAGATTAATACATATAGTCGATGCAATTGGCTTAAAATTGGACTTCCCGACAGAATCCTTTAATCTGACTGCCCCTTCCTTGGCGCTGGCAGTCCTGAAAGTCAACAGCAGCTCCTTTAAAAGTGTTTCTTTTGCTGTAGAAGATCCCTCAGATCTTCAGGTAAGATCATTTTATTTCCACAGTCCGGGTTTTGTGTGGTTGTTGTTGCCTATTCTGATAAAAATATCTGAAATGGGGATTCAAAGACATGGAATGTTGGTTGTTTTCCAAGCAGAGTTAAACAAGTAGGATCTTCAAATTCAAATTAATTTCTTAATTTGTTTTTAATTAATTTAGTTTAGATACCAACACAAAATGGCAACACACTACGGCAAAACAAACAAACAAACAAAAAACCCTGACAGTACAACCACCATATCCACAGGGGATACATTCCTGAACCTATCGTGAAACCGGATAATAGCAAATCCTATTTAATAAATTACTTATTCTGAAAGTTGCTATAAAGTTGTGCTGGAGCACCCAGAAAATTCATTGAGAGCTTCTCCAGTGCTATTTTATAGTAATTTCTGATAGAAGCATACCATAGAATTGCCTGGAGAACATAGAAAATTCCTAAAGAGGACATACTAGTTGGATGTGGGTAGATAAAACCGCGGTATGGGAATCATAGAATAGGTTTTCCAGTATACGAGAGGAAAACAAACTTAACAAATCATCTAATACAGAGAGAAGAGGAAAACAAATCAGAAGGACATTTCATAAATTCTAGCTCAGTGAACACAGCCAACTGACGGACAAATATAACAGAAAATTAATAATATTAGTTCAGTTAATTAATATCATTTATATAAATCAGGGATATGTCATTTCTAGAGGGAATGCTTTTCTTCAAATAATACTTAATGCCCCAATTGTCGCCAAAATGGCCAGCAGTCATTTTAAGTCCCAAAAGCAGAGTCACCTAGTATTGGTCTCTCTCCACCCATTTTCATGGGAGCATGTTCCTTCTATTCCTTCCAGGTCCAAATGAATGGAAAGATTTTGACCTGAGTAAGTGGAGATGCGGAGTGTAGAGATGGAGCTCTGCCAAGGGATAGATTTCCCCAGTCTCCAGTTGTTTTACATCAGGGCACTCAATCCACTCACAAAGAGTGGGGGAAGAGCTTATCTGGTCCTTTGTGGGCACTACATAATTTTGTGGGTACAGTGACACTAGTTGGTGCTGCATCAGGAATCCCATTAATAAACTCTATTTATGTATTATTTATTTAGAGTAGTTCTACTCCACCCTTCAGCCAAAAAGGCTCTCTATGTCAGTGTTCCCAACCTTTGGGCCTCTAGGTGTTTTGGATTTCAGCTCCCACAGTTCCTAACAGCTGGTAAGCTGGCTGAGATTTCTTAAAGTTGAAGTTCAAAACACCTGGAGGTCCAAAGATTGGGAACCACTGCTCTGTATGGTCCAAGCAAGAGCCCAACTGCCTTTTTTTGTTCTTTACAAAAGTATCCTCCCCCTCTCTCTTTTTCGGTCTAGGTTGCTCTTGGAACTCAAATACCTAAAAACAGTATTGGAACCATAACACTTCCATCTTCAGTGATGGCAAATCTGCCACCTGCAGAAAAGCATCAAGCTTCTAGAATTATATTTAACTTCTTTGAGAAGACACCCCTCTTCCAGGTAATTTCTTAGCGTACAAAATATGCACACATTGTTTACTTTAGTGTCTTTCCCCCCTAACAATACATAACATTAATATGTGTGTGTTTTCTAGGATCCTTCACTGCAAAATGTGTCACTAATCAGCCAAGTTATATCATCAAGTGTTGCTAACCTTTCAATTACCAACTTGGAGAAAAACGTTACAGTCATTCTACAAAATGCTGCATCTACTCAGGTGTGTCTCTCTGTGCCTTTGATTTTCAAAGAGTTTTCTTAGGCAAGCAGGTACAAAGCATATATTAGAAAAGCATTTAGACTAAATGCACATCACTGTATTATTGCTTCCCTTATACTTTGCTATTTTCTTTGTGTAATCTACTTGTATGTTCTTATTGTAGTGCTAATGGTGGGAATGTAATGCAGTGCCAAAGGGGGACACAGAAAAAACACATGTGAAGATGTAAAAATAATAATGCCATAACCTTTACATGGGCCCACTGTGGTGGCACAGTGGGTTAAACCACATAGCTGCTGAACTTGCTGACCAAAACGTCAGCGGTTCGAATCTGGGGAGTGGGGTGAGCTCCTGTTGTTAGCCGCAGCTTTGCCAACCTCGCAGTTCGAAAACATGCAAATATGAGCAGATCAATAGGTACCATTTCTGTGCGCCATGCAGTCATGCTGGCCACATGATCTAGGAGGTGTCTATGGACAACTCCGGCTCTTCGGCTTAGAAAAGGAGATAAGCACCACCACCCAGAGTCAGACATGACTAGACTTAATATGTCAAGGGGAAACCTTTACCTTTACCTAAACTTTACATGTTGGACAGCCATGAGGTATAGATTTAGTGAAATAATTCCTTGATCTAGAACCATAGAGTTGAAGAGAACACAAGGGCCATCCAGTCCAACCCCATTCTGCCTTTCAAGAGCACACAAGCAAAGCTCTCCCATAAGATGGCCATCCAGTCTCTGCTTAAAAACCTCCAGAGAAGGTGACTCCGCTGTACTCTGAGGCATAGTATCCCACTGTTGAACTGTTCTTCTGTGTCCAGAGGAGGGCGACTAAAATGATCAAGGGTCTGGAGAACAAGCCCTATGAGGAGCGGCTTAAGGAGCTGGGCATGTTTAGCCTGAAGAAGAGAAGGCTGAGAGAAGATATGATAGCCATGTATAAATATGTGAGAGGAAGCCACAGGGAGGAGGGAGCAAGCTTGTTTTCTGCTTCCTTGGAGACTAGGACGGGGAACAATGGCTTCAAACTGCAAGAGAGGAGATTCCATCTGAACATGAGGAAGAACTTCCTGACTGTGAGAGCCGTTCAGCAATGGAACTCTCTGCCCCGGAGTGTGGTGGAGGCTCCTTCTTTGGAAGCTTTTAAACAGAGGCTGGATGGCCATCTGTCAGGGGTGATTTGAATGCAATATTCCTGCTTCTTGGCAGGGGGTTGGACTGGATGGCCCATGAGGTCTCTTCCACTCTTTGATTCTATGATTCTATGATTCTATGATTATCGGGAACTTCTTCATAATGTTTAGGTGGAATATCTTTTCTTACAATTGGCTTTGTTTTCCATTCTCTAGAACAGCAGAAAACAGGTCTGCATCCCTCCCCAATGTGGAATCCTTTCAAATATTTAAACATAGCTATCATGTCTTCTCTTAACACTCTAATTACTTGCCTGTCATTTAATCACAACCTAGCTGGCTGATCCTATATCAGTAGACACCAGTGGGATGATAGAAGAGGAAGCCATATGTATCCATTGCTTTTGTGTGATTCCCTGCAACTTTGGGTGAAGCAGATCCATGTACCTGAACTGGGTTTAACTCGGATACTTCGACCCCTGCATCCCCTGATAAGGATTCCTCCAGTTACTGATTTTCCTCCAAAACTAGATTGTGACTCATACCATACTCCTCCTAAGTTATAATAAATAATTCAACTGGTAACAAAGGGAGACGGATGAGAAGACATATCAAGCTTGGCTGGCTGCAGAGCCCTGTGCATGGACCAGGAGGGAAATGTCCACCTTTACATCAGCTTCTGTGAAGACTTTGCTCTACCAAGCCACAGATTGCTTGCTTCCCCAGAACCTGCGAAAACACATAGAAGCTCTTGGGAAGACAGCAGTGTATCATGAGGGGGAAAAAATTGGGAGCCCTTGTTGCCTTGTTCTAGTCACCACAGGACATATGATCTCCCTGCAAGGCTGACACTTTTAACTTTTATGAACAATTTCACTTTGCAATTATGGTATAATTGCTTAAGAATGATACCATTAAATGTGACCATTGAAGATACCTTTTGAATTTCTGCACCAAGTAAAATTAATACCATCTCTCCATTATTAACAAGAGGAAACTTATTCAGGAGTTGGAGTGTACCCCTGCATTTGCTATAGAAGCAGATTGATGCTTTGGATGCACTCCCAATTTAAATGTGCCCATAGGACCAATGTTTTGCAAGTATTGGTATGAGTACATGCATACAATGTTAATGAGTGCTTAGCTGCTCACTGCTACTTCATTTTGGCTTTTCCGGGAACTCCCTATTTTCTCCCAAGTGGTAAAAGTTGAGAAGTGGCTCATTTGAGTTTCCTTTCTCTTAGAAAAACATGGGACTTCATGTCCCAGACAGGAAAGTGACAATCTTTGTGTGACTTTCTGCTGATAGAGGTTTCCAATGTGGTATCTTTGGGGACAATAACCATAGTGTGTGTGTGTCTCAGTTTTCTTCAGTCCTCTGCGATGGTAGGTGTGTAGTCAAAGTGAATGACAAGCATGTGTACTTGGTGATTTTTGGAATTGGCTATTGTTGTTCAACCCAATTTTGGTGCTTGGCACACTAAAGGATAGACACCAGCCTTGTGCATTAAAAAGATATAATCTATATTGATACATGGTGATTGGGGAAAAAGTTGTGGGATTGTATAGGGAAAAAAAGTTGATGATAGTACGGTAACAGACAAGGAAAGGAAATGTTGTGTATAATATATAAGGAACAGATTCATCCAGAATTTTGAATAAAGTCTTAATCTATGAAGGTTTTGAGTTATTTTGAAAGGTGAATAAATTATTGTATTTATCTCCAAACAGGAGAATTCAACTATTAGATGCGCCTACTGGAATTTCAATAAAAATGGTATGTTTGTGCAGCCATGGCTTTGTATTTACACTCATGTTATAGTGTTTCAAAACTGTACCACGTCTATTTTGATAATGGAAGCTCCTAATTTTTGACAGATGGGAGTGGAGGCTGGGCTTATGATGGATGCACAGTTATAGAGAGAAGAACAAATGAAACTGTCTGTAGCTGCAACCACCTCACCAGTTTTGGAGTTCTACTGGTAAGGCCTACGCCACATAATCAGAAGCCGCATGCAAATGTTGTATTTCTATTCTATAGTGTTGATTGTTTCAGAACATATAAAATATAGAATCTCACATGTATACAAATATTTCTTTCTCATTTTCAGGATTTATCAAGAAGTGGCCAACCACCTCCTATCCAAGTGTTAATTTTAACCTTCATCACATACATAGGTTGTGGCCTTTCAGCAATTTTTCTTTCTGTCACCCTTGTTACATATATTGCATTTGAGTAAGTACCATCACAGTTCAAATTATATTATGGATCTTCCTTTATGTACATATGGAGCAGTATTGAAAAAAAGCCTAATATTTGATTTATGGAAGAGCTTGTTTCCAAGAGGTACCAAATCCACCCGAACAAACTTTACCGGAATAGGAAAAAAATGTGCTGAGGCTATGCATTTCTTTGGTATATAATGCAGTTTTCTGAGACCTATACCAAAATGATTTGATACATTTTATTAGTTTTTTATCCATACATATCAAACAATGCACTGCCACCTATGACTCATTGTTCAATTTATTTGGATTTGGTACCTTTTGGAAACTAACTCCACAGGTTTCATCACATTGAAGCAGGGAAATGTTTGGTAGAATAGAGCTCAGTCTGACTCAGTTTTGAAATGAAATGGATTATTTCCCTACCTTCATCACACTGTTAAATGTATCCGAATTACTCAGTGGTACTCAGCATTCATTCAGAAGATTTCCCATCACTCTGCAACCACTAGGCGCCTCCCACCATCCCTCCCCCATGTTCTTTGTGGGGGAGGGGGAAACCTCCTCTCTTTGAAATGTCAGCTGTTGTTGTTGTTGTTCATTCGTTCAGTCGTCTCCGACTCTTCGTGACCTCATGGACCAGCCCACGCCAGAGCTCCCTGTCGGCCGTCACCACCCCCAGCTCCTTCAAGGTCAGTCCAGTCACTTCAAGGATGCTATCCATCCATCTTGCCCTTGGTCGGCCCCTCTTCTTTTCCTTCCACTTTCCCCAGCATAATTGTCTTCTCTAGGCTTTCCTTTCTCCTCATGATGTGGCCAAAGTACTTCACTTTGTCTCTAGTATCCTTCCCTCCAGTGAGCAGTCGGGCTTTATTTCCTGGAGGATGGACTGGTTGGATCTTCTCGCAGTCCAAGGCACTCTCAGCACTTTCCTCCAACACCACAGTTCAAAAGCATCGATCTTCCTTCGCTCAGCCTTCCCTAAGGTCCAGCTCTCACATCCGTAGGTGACTACAGGGAATACCATGGCTTTGACTAGGCGGATCTTTGTTGCCAGTCTGATGTCTCTACTCTTCCCTATTTTATCGAGACTGGACATTGCTCTCCTCCCAAGAAGTAAGCGTCTTCTGATTTCCTGGCTACAGTCTGCATCTGCAGTAATCTTTGCACCTAGAAATACAAAGTCTGTCACGGCCTCCACGTTTTCTCCCTCTATTTTCCCAGTTGTCAATCATTCTTGTTGCCATAATCTTGGTTTTTTTGATGTTTAGCTGCAACCCGGCTTTTGCGCTTTCTTCTTTCACCTTGATTAGAAGGCTCCTCAGCTCCTCCTCGCTTTCGGCCATCAGAGTGGTGTCATCTGCATATCTGAGGTTGTTAATGTTTCTTCCAGCACTTTTCACCCCAGCTTTGCATTCATCAAGCCCCGCACATCGCATGATGTGTTCTGCATACACGTTAAAAAGGTTGGGTGAGAGTATGCAGCCTTGCCGTACGCCTTTCCCAATCTTGAACCAGTCTGTTGTTCCGTGGTCAATTCTGACTGTTGCTACTTGGTCCTTGTACAGATTCCTCAGGAGAGAGACAAGGTGGCTTGGGATGCCCATCCCACCAAGAACCTGCCACAATTTATTATGATCCACACAGTCAAAGGCTTTAGAATAGTCAATGAAGCAGAAGTAGATGTTTTTCTGAAAGTCCCTGCCTTTCTCCATTATCCAGCGGATATTGGCAATCTGGTCTCTCGTTCCTCTGCCTTTTCTAAACCCAGCTTGAACATCTGGCAAGCTCTCGCTCCATGTATTGCTGGAGTCTTCCTTGCAGGATCTTGAGCATTACCTTACTGGCATGAGAAATAAGGGCCACTGTACGGAAGTTGGAGCAGTCTTTTGCATTTCCCTTTTTTGGTATGGGGATATAAGTTGATTTTTTCCAGTCTGATGGCCATTCTTGTGTTTTCCATATTTGCTGGCAAATGGCATGCATCACCTTGACAGCATCATCTTTTAAGATTTTAAACAGTTCAGCTGGAATCCCGTCGTCTCCTGCTGCCTTGTTGTTAGCAATGCTTCTTAAGGCCCATTCAACCTCACTCCTCAGGATGTCTGGTTCTAATTCATTCACCACACCGTCAAAACTATCCTCAATATTATTATCCTTCCTATACAGATCTTCTGTATAGTCTCGCCACCTTCTCTTGATCTCTTCAGCTTCTGTTAGGTCCCTGCCATCTTTGTTTCTTATCATACCAATTATAGTTTCTAGGAGACAGAAATTAGGATCTTTACTATGTAAAACATGTTTTATGCCATCAAGCTATGTCTGCAATGTAAGACTTTGTTATGCAGCTTCCATGCATTGCTTATTTAAAATAGTTTCTTATCTCTTCTGGCTAACCTCTGGAATTGCGCATTTAACTGGGCATATCTCCCCTTATCCCTGTTTCCTTTTGCTTTCCTCCTTTCTTGGGCTACTTCCAGTGTCTCAGCAGACAACCATTTTGCCTTCTTGGTTTTCTTTTTCTTTGGAACGTACTTTGTTGCCGCCTCCTGAACAATGTCGCGGACTTCTGTCCATAGTTCTTCTGGGACTCTGTTTACTAAATCTAGTCCTTCAAATCTGTTCTTCACTTCCACTGTATATTCGCTAGGAATGTTAGTGAGATCATATCTAACTGGTCTGTGTATTTTCCCTGATCTCTTTAGTTTTATTCTAAATTGGGCAATAAGAAGATCGTGATCTGAGCTACAGTCAGCCCCAGGTCTTGTTTTCACCGACTGGATGGATGTCCGCCACCTTTGGCTGCAAAGGATGTAGTCAATCTGATTTCGGTGTTGACCATCTGGTGAGGTCCATGTATAAAGCTGTCTTTTAGGTTGTTGGAAGAGAGTATTAGTTATATGAGGTCCATTTGTAAAGCCGTCTTTTAGGTTGTTGGAAGAGAGTATTCGTTATACACAGCGAGTTTTCCTGGCAAAATTCTATCAGCCTGCGTCCCGCTTCATTTTGTTCTCCCAGACCATGCTTGCCTGTGATCCCAGTTGTCATTTGACTTCCCGCCTTGGCATTCCAGTCTCCTGTAATGAAAATAATGTCTCTTTTTGGTGTATTATCCAGTAGGTCCTGCAGATCCTCATAGAACTGATCTACTTCTGCTTCTTCAGCAGCTGTGGTTGGGGCAGTATATTTGGATCACTGTAATGTTGAAAGGCTTTCCTTGCACTCGAATTGAGATCATTCTGTCATTTTTTGGGTTGTATCCAAGCACCGCTTTAGCGAATTTCTTATTAATTATGAAGGCTACTCCATTTCTTCGATGTTCCTCTTGTCCGCAGTAGTAGATCTAGTGGTCATCTGATGTGAAGTGGCCCATTCCAGTCCACTTCAGTTCGCTGACCCCCAGAATGTCTATCTTTAGTCTTGACATCTCGCCAATAACAACATCCAATTTGCCCTGGCTCATAGATCTTACATTCCAGGTTCCTATGGTGTGTTGATCTTTAGAGCATCGGATTCGTCGTTCACCTCCAGTACCGTCGGCCGCTAGCCTTCCTTTCGGCTTTGACCTAGCTGCGTCATCACATCTGGGGCTAGTTGAACTTATCCTCTGCTCCTCCCCAGTAGCATTTTGGCCATCTTCCGACCTGGGAGTCCCATCTTCCAATGGCATACCGACATATCTCTGGTTGTACTGGTCCATTTAGTTTATACACACTGCACATATCTTATTTGTAGTGCAAAAAAGGAAGCAATTAAGAGCATTCATTCCATAGTGTAAATGCACCCAGAGAAGAGTAGGGACCTTGGAAAACTATAACTCTCCGGACTGCACAACATGAGGACATGGCAAAACAACAACAACAACAACAACAACAACAACAATCCTTGCCCAGCTTTCCCATGCAACACAAGGTAGAGACATATCACTGAAGGAAGGGAAGGAAATTACTTGGAAAGGCTGTTTTTAAAAAGGCAAAGTAAAAACTCAGTAATGCTTTCCCTAAGAAGGGTACTTTTGGCTCCTCCCACAACAATTTCCCCACAAATTGGGGAAAGGTTCCATTTTAAACCTGGGAGCAACAAATGCAATCACATCACAGAATTGGCCAACCATCCGGATTATTATCAAAAATCCACTTCCCCACCACCTCCTGAAACATTCGAAAAGAATACTGGCCTCCATGCCTAAAATACTTAGAATGCTTATCCTACACCTGAACCCAAATGTGATGAACGCAGTGGCTTTCTCTGTTTTAAGTGTAGCACTCATTGGAATTTAGTAAATGTGATGAAGTGGTTAGAGAAATATCTGAGGAGCAGAGCAAAACAGCAAGGCTCTTTGTTTATATAGAAGATAACTGCACGAAGAGCTAGATGCCTGAAAATATAATATCTGTTGACTGATGCCTAAGATGCAGTGGTAAACTTCACATGGAAATTCAAAAACTAGGGAATGGCAGATGTAACTCAACAGAAAATTTACCACGATGGTTGTGTAGTCTACTGTATCTGAAGAGCATCAGCTTGAGGAAAGCTGCCTTATGGCTTGCCTTTTTTATTTGATTTGCTTACTTTTACAAGCAATTTTCAGTAAACAACTTGTCGTCTTGACTCCTTGTCCATTTAATACTGGACGCACATCCTACTTCTCTCTTTTGAATTATGGTATTCATTATCTTTCTATTTAATCTGACTTTAAAGATAAAATTGGGTGTTCATAATGCCATGGAAGGCAGAGACATAACATAATAATTACATATCTTTTTCCTTTTGAATAGTTTTGCATGACCATAAGTGAGAGTGTCTGTGTCTATGTTTCAACATTTTTTCTAATTTATTAATAATAAAAGTTATTATTTATTTTATAATCTTCCTCATAATTGTTACTCAAAGTCAAACTCTTAATACATTAAAGGACCGTATAATTTTAAAATTTGCATATTATATATGATATTCATATGATTTTAGAACGTTCACATCAGTTCTTTGAAACTAAAAAAAGCATTTACTGATAAAGTAAATATTTTAATATTGTTTTTTATGACTTGGCAGTGTTCTGTTTAAAATTCAGTTTTAATAATGTGTTAAGTTTATAATTGGAAAAAAACACATTAGTGCAGATTAGTACCTTAGATATAAACTAAAATAATAGTAAAAATAGACATGTTTATTAATTGCTATTTCATAATTTGATTTCTGCTGCACATGTGGCCTTTGGACTCTTATGGAATCATGTGCAATTGGTGTCTCAAATTGCTCTTTGATCAATAAATAAGTTCATAATTATTGCTTGTGTGACATGTAACTTTTCAAAGATATATTAAATAAATCTGATAGTTTATCAAATTATTATTAATAATAATAACACTTTATTTGTACCCCACTACCATTTCCCCAAGGGACTCGGTGCGGCTTACATGAGGCAAAACAAGCAAAACAACAACAGTACAAGCAATTAAAATAAAACCATAGACAATAAAATATGCAACATTATCAATAAGACAACATGCAATTAAAAACAGTGGGAATGCCAAATGTAAAGTTAAAATGGAAATAATGAATTTTATTTCTTTTCTTCCACAGGAAAATCAGAAGAGATTATCCTTCTAAAATCCTTATTCAGCTGTGTGTTGCATTACTTTTACTTAACCTAGTTTTTCTCCTGGATTCCTGGATTGCTCTATATAAAATCAAAGGACTGTGTATCTCAGTTGCTGTGTTTCTTCATTATTTCCTTTTGGTTTCTTTCACCTGGATGGGCCTTGAGGCTTTCCACATGTATCTTGCCCTTGTTAAAGTATTCAACACTTATGTCAGAAAATACATCCTAAAGTTCTGCATTGTTGGCTGGGGTATGTCTATTTTTTATTTCTGTTTGGAATATATTTTATCTATGTGTAATTTATTTAGTGGCCACATTTATAGTAGACTCGCTGAAATGGGTAGTACAAGGTAGACTTAATTTCTGTTGTTTTCAGTAGATCAGTAGTATTTATTTATTTATTTTATATCCCGCTTATGGAAGGCGGCCAACAATCACACACTTTGATCAATTTAAAACAAAGCAAGTACAAATATTTTAAAATATTAAACAGTCTTGCGTGTGTTAGGTTAAAAATACAGTTAAAATGCAATAAATACGATTAGAATGCATTTTAAAACACCCAGTCCCACCTCCAGTCCCACCAACAACCTCCCCAGCAGTACGCCCCTTATTATTTCCGGTATTTCTACCTCGTCTCTTCTCTACCCCTGAAGGGGGACTCAGGATGGCTTACATTAGGCAACGATTCAATGCCTCTTCATATAAAAAATTACAATAATACAACACATCCTCCTCCAAATGCCTCCTTGCAGAAGAAGATCTTGACCTACCTGTGTTAGTCCATCCTGGTCTCACTTGGGAGGGAGTTCCACAGTCTGAGAGCAGCCACCAGAAAGGCCCTGTCCTATATTCCCAGCAAACACGGTTGAGCGGGTGATGTGACAGAGAGAAGGTCTTCCTCAGCAGTTTTGGTTTAGTATTTTGTTAAATTTCATTTGAAATCCATGATGTGTTCTGAACATTCTAAATATACTAAAAATAGCTCCTGATTATAGGGGTTGTTATATGAATCTTTTGTTGCAACAGTTCTGTCTGTTGGTCTTTTTTCTGGGCTCAATTCAAAGTGCTGGTTATGATCTGTAAAGCCCAGGTTATCTAAAGCAAGGCTTCTTAAATGTTTTCCACTCATGACCCTTTTGTGGCTGTGAAATTTTTACGTGACCCTAGGTATCTATACAGACATAAAACATAGCTATAAAAATCAAACATTCAGTATTTGCAAGGCTTGCTAAACAGGCTGATTTTCCTTTTTATGAAATACAGGTGAAGCATTTTTGGCAGAGTCCATTGTAAGCCCTGCACATTGCTGCTAACAGATTTGTATAAGTGTCCAAGGTAGCCACTAGGTTCAGTAACCTTTTACTGTTGCCAGTTTCTTTGTGGCCCCATTATTGCGCTAACAGGATTCAATTTGGAGTCAGAAGCCTTAGTTTAATCAGCAGTGATGTGAAGGATCACATTTTCCCATAAGAACCTGCCCATAGTATAAGATATTACAAGAAGGCCCTTCTTTCTGTATCATCCATCGTAGATACATCTAGTGGTAACACAAGACAGAGCCTTCATGGCGGCTGATCCTGGAATTCCCTTCCTAGGGAGGTAGGACAGAGGTCTTCCTTGCTACCCTTAGATAGGCAGATGAAGACTTATTTCATTTTAAGAGACCCCCACAGACTGATTGTTAAAGGGGGACTTTCATAATGTGCTGCATTACTTAATATCTGCTGTTTTCCTTCTTAATGGTGATGCTTTTAACCACTTTTTACTTTACTGGTATTTAATTATATTTTTAAGTTTTGGGGATTTGGACATTTCAGTTGTATCTGTTAAAGTTTGTAAACCTCTATGAGTCCTGGACTGGGACAAATGCAGGATATAAAGAAATTTCCACATCCTCCATCATAATGGGGTGGCTCCCGTTATCAGAACAAAACTGTATTTCTACATGTGTACTTGTGTAGCAGGATTCAGGAAACTAGAGGAATTCTGTCTTCCTCAAATTAAAGTACTATTCTGCTGGCATGAAATAGTTCTGGATACCACCCTGTTTCCTGTTGTCTGAATGCTTAGTTATGCATTTCCAGTATTCTTTCCAATTTGCATCCTTGTTTTTTTTTTTAATCTTTCAGGGCTACCAGCTATAATCATAGCTATTGTCTTGGCAATATCTCCAGATAACTATGGACTTGGGTCCTATGGAAAGCTTCCCGATGGCTCAGCAGATGAATTGTAAGTCAAAATCAGGCAATGGTGAAGAATATTAATTTAACTATGCACTTAATTATAGTTATGAAAAGGCAGGAAATTAAAGCAAGAGAAAATCTCATCAAGCAAGGAAGCAATTTTTAAATCAGCAAATGCTTAGTTTTTGCTTAGTTACTAACTGCAGTGAATAAAGGTAGAAATATATTAAATTACAGTTGAAGATCATGATTTAAGATACTGTTATAAAATGAGTTTTTGCCATGTTGCATGGAGATACATATAGTGTTTAATAGCAGAAAGTTATGTGGCTTTTTGAATTTGATTCTCAGTCTTACCATTTCAAAATGTATCTAACACTAACTAGTACTTTCTTTTGCATTTCTTCTTTCTGCATTTTTAGCTGCTGGATTAACAATAATACTGTCTTTTACATCACTGTTGTGGGATACTTCTGCATGATATTCTTGCTGAATATCAGCATGTTCATAGTTGTGCTCATTCAGCTCTGTCGAATCAAAAAGAAGAAGCAGCTTGGTGCCCAGCGAAAGACCAGCATTCAAGACCTCAGGAGTGTTGCTGGCCTCACTTTCCTGTTGGGAATTACTTGGGGATTTGCCTTTTTCGCATGGGGCCCTGTAAATCTTGTATTTATGTATCTGTTTTCCATCTTTAACACATTACAAGGTATGTACTGGGCTTTTTTCTATATAGAAAATACTGTGTGTATATGTATATTTCCCTGTGTGTGTATCGATCATATTATATCAAATAGACTCCAACTTAAATACTCACACAAGAAAATAACACTATGTAACAAAATTTGAAAAATGGTCTGTTCCTGGTTATAAAATATTATTTCCTGTTTAATTGTGCAGTACTTACTTTGAAAGTAGTTGATATATTCCAGAAACTTCATTTTTGTGGCTGCCACAAACTACGTTGAATTGGTTGACACTCTGAGATATTCATTGAAAGACTATCACAAAATATGCTGCAGGGTGTCCCGAAAAACAAAGTTTTTGCAGTTTAATAAACATTTCCCATGTTTTTATGATAGATCCAATTAGGAAATGGCGTTTCTAACCAAGGAACAAAAATTGTCTTGCATAGTGTAATAGCTTTTTGTCACTATTTTTAAAAAGTATCTCATATTGATCCTTAATGAGCAGAATAGGCCTAACAATATAGTGAAAGACGCTAAATATCAAACTAATATAATGAATATATTCAAAGCACCACATACTTTAATTCCATGATTTTATTATTGAACACATTTACATAACATAGATTTAAGTGAAAACAGCGCTGTATGGATGTTGAGGCTAGCACTTTTAATTCGTTTGTCATCATAGTAAAGCAGTGGTTCCCAACCTGTGGTCCAAGGACCACCAGTGGTCCACGAGAACTAAAATATGGTCCGCAGTCTCACTGTTACTACATCATTGCAACAAGAGCGACTGGTCTCTCAAAACCCTCTTGTAGTGCCAAGGCAACGGCGATCTCAGGAGGGGAGAGGCTTACTACCCACAAAAGATAACTAGTATCACATCAGCTCTAGATTATTAAATACAGTTTTCTGTGGGTGAGCAGATGGCAACTACTGGATGGCATCTGTTCTGTATCAGAAACTAGAGCTGATGTGATCTTTCCAATGCAATTTTCTGAATCAGCACCCCAAATAACCAAACTGAATCTAAAGTTGACCAAAAACTGATTCGTAATCCTTTTGGTTCTAATGTTAGAGAGTGGTCCCTGGTCAAAAAAAAAAGGTTGGGAACCACTGTAGCAAAACAAAATATCTCATGCACTCTTATGGGAGGCTTTTCACTAGAAGAATGTGCTCTTATCACTGAGGAGGACAATTAGCCATAGGTTGATTTTGGCGATGGGGGGCTGGAATAATATAGCGGTTTTATTTAAGACAGAACAGAATTCGATGCCCTTAAACTTCTAATGCATTATTTTGCAGGATTCTTCATTTTCATTTTCTACTGTGTAGCCAAAGAGAATGTTCGTAAACAGTGGAGAAGGTATTTGTGTTGTGGAAAATACAGGCTGGCTGAAAACTCTGGTAAATACAACATCATTGTTATTTGAAATCGTGCAGATATAGCTACAGAGTTGGATCCTAAAGTGGATGGCTTGTGTGAGAGAGTAATTTAATTTTGCCAATCCGCCCTCTGACTATGTTTCTCTATGACCAGATATGAAGACATTCCTGGATCTCCTTTTCAGATTTTCAGTAGTGAAAACGGGGATGAGGGGCTTCAGACCAAATATTTGTACAAATAGAATTTTACTCATCTTGATTCTAGTCTGTTTACATTATTTCTTGTCACTAAATTTTCCAAAAGATATTGATATCTGGTTTTTGTGACTACATGTACTATTTATAATTAAAATGTGCTTTAAAAAATCTGAAATTGAGCTCTTTGGAGAAAGGAAGAAGGAAGGAATGGAGAATTAGCCCCAACGGCTCTGTGACTATTATGCGAGGAACACAAAAATACCAATTTTGCCACCCCCCCTCCCCCCAAAAAAGGGTGTGACTATTATCTGTATTTTCTGCATTCGCCTATAGACAGGGACAGGCTATCTTCAAAAGCATTTGAAATGCCGATAATAATTAATGCTGTAAATTTACAAAACTGACAAAAATGTAAAAGATGAAATCTCATAAAAATAAGGGTTAGTAGCAGTAATAACACTTTTCTTGTGTGAAGCTTTAACATTCAACCTTGTTTCTGTTATCTTTTTTACCTGTAGACTGGAGTAGAACAGCTACAAATGGCTTAAAAAAACAGAATGTTAACCAAGGTGTTTCCAGTTCTTCTCACTCTATTCAGTCAAACAGTAACTCCACAAATTCCACTTCGATGCTAGTGAATAATGATTATTCAGTGCATGCAAATGGGAATGGTAAGTATGCCTAAAATATTCAGTCATCCATTATTTGTGTTATTTTACTGACACAAAAGCACAGTATGTCACAGCAAACGAGAGCTATATGCTGGATTTCATATCAAAAAATCACAAGTCGAACACTTCCCAAACATCTAGGACTGTGTTATTATTATTATTATAACTTTATTTGTACCCCGCTAGCATCTCCCAAAGGACTCGATGCGGCTTACATAGGCCAAGGCCTCAAAACACAATACAACAATACAATACCTAAAGCAAATTAAAAACAGTTAAGCAGTATAAACAACAAACAATAAACAATACATCAAGACACTATAAAACTGGGCCAGGCCAGAGTAAAGGCTACAAGATTAAAAGTGCTGATGTGGCAGGAGGTATGTAGGATTATAAAGTAAGTGCAGTGTGCGGTGGTCAGCAATCTTAGTTCTACTAAAGTGCTTCTAGGACTTGGCATTGGAGGTTCCTAATCTGAGAAGGCACATCGGAACAGCCAGATCTTCAAGTTCTGTCTGAAGACTGCCAATGTAGGGGCCTGTCTAAGATCTTTTGGGAGGGCGTTCCAGAGTCGGGGGGGCACCACAGAAAAGACCCTGTCTCGAGTCCCCACCAAGCGCGCTTGCGACGCAGGCAGGATCACGAGCAGGGCCTCTCCAGATGACCGAAGTGAATGCGTGGGTTCATAGACAGAGATGCGGTCACGCAGGTAGGGTGGACCCAAACCGTTCAGGGCTTTATAGGTAAGCACCTGCACCTTAAATTGGGCTCGGAAAATAAACGGCAGCCAGTGGAGCTCCTTGAACAGGAGGGTTGACTTCTCTCTGTAAGGAGCTCCAGTTAACATCCTGGCTGCTGCCCGTTGGACCAGTTGGAATTTCTGAGCCATTTTCAAGGGCAGCCCCACGTAAAGCGCATTGCAGTAGTCCAATCTAGAGGTGACCAAGGCATGGACCACCCCGGCCAGATCAGCCTTTGCAAGGTACGGTCACAGCTGGCGCACAAGTCTCAATTGTGCAAAAGCCCTCCTGGACACCGGTGACGCCTGAGCCTCAAGCGTGAGCGATGAATCCAAGAGGACTCCCAAACTGCGGACCTGTGGCTTCAGGGGGAGTGTAACCCCGTCCAACACAGGTTGCCACCCTATACCCCGATCCAGTTTGCGATCAACCAGGAGGACCTCTGTCTTGTTGAGATTGATCTTCAGCTTGTTCCTCCTCATCCAGATAGACACAGCGGCCAGGCACTTGTCCAGCATCCGAGAGGCCTCCTTGGAATTAGGTGGAAAGAGTAGTAGAGTTGTGTGTCATCTGCGTAGAGATGGCACCCAACTCCAAAACTCCGGATGACCTCTCCCAGCGGTTTCATGTAGATGTTAAAAAGCATGGGAGACAGAATAGAGCCTTGCGGGACCCCACAGGTCAAAGGCCAGGGGTCCGAGCAGGCGTCTCCCAGCTTCACCATCTGGGTTCGTCCCTCCAGGAAGGACCGGAGCCACGACAAAACCGTGCCCCCGAGGCCCATCCCAGAGAGACGACCCAGAAGGATACCATGATCGATGGTATCGAAAGCCGCTGAGATGTCCAAGAGAACCAACAGAGTCACACTCCCCCTGTCCAGCTCTCTGCGGAGGTCATCCACCAAGGCGACCAAGGCTGTCTCGGTGCCATGACCAGGCCTGAAACCAGACTGTGACTGATCTAGGTAGTTGGTATCGTCTAAGAAGCTCTGGAGCTGGGAGGCGACCACCCGCTCCAGCACCTTACCCAAAAAAAGGTTGGAGATTGGTCTGTAATTGTTCAGCACCGTGGAGTCAAGGGAAGCCTTTTTGAGGAGTGGACGAACCACAGCCTGTTTCAAATTAGATGGAAAAATCCCTTGCTCCAACGATGCATTAAAGATCAACACAAACCAATCAACCAACCCCTCCCTGGCCGATTTAATTAGCCAAGACGGGCAAGGGTCTAGAGCCGACGTGGTCGCCCTCACAGCGCCAAGGACCTCCTCCACGGTCTCAGGAAGAACAAGCCTAAAAGAATCCCACAAAATTGGACAAGCAGATACCTCCGTCACCTCCTCTGGCACTGCGATGAAATTGGAGTCGAGCTCGAGGCGTATCTGAGCAACTTTGCCTGCAAAATGGTGTGCGAAATCGCAACACCGAGCTGCTGGGTCATCAGAGATCTCCTCCACCACAGGTGGGTGAAGGAGCTCCCCGACAACCCGAAACAGCTCCGATGATCTATTTGCTGCAGACGCTATACGGGTGGTCGTGAAAGATTCCCTGGCCACCCGTATAGCCACGGAGTATGCCTTAAGAGAGGCTTTAGCCCGTGCTTGGTCAGACACGTCCTGAGATCTCCTCCACTTGCGCTCTAGCCCCCTTCTCATGTGCTTCATCACAGCCAGCTCCCCAGTAAACCAGGGAGATGGCCTGTCACGACGCAACGTGATGGGGCGTTCGGGAGCGATCGTATCTATCGCCCTGGACATCTCCCTATTGTAGAGATCCACCAAGGGTGGGCGGTACACCAGCAGAAACCCCACACTGTCACGGTTCCCCACCTTCAGGTGGACACACTCAAACCCAGGTGCTTGTGGAACAGCGCATCTGACCACGGCGATGGATTGCCGAAAGACTACTGCGACCCCTCCTCCCCGCCCCCCCTGTCTGGCCTGCTGATGCACCCCGAAACCCGGTGGACACAGCTGAGTGAGATTTACTCCCCCCAGCTCATCCAACCAGGTCTCAGTAATGCATGCCAGATCCGCCCTCTCATCCAGGATCAAGTCCTGAATGGCAGCGGTCTTACCACTGACAGATCTAGCATTAATCAGGAGGACCTTAAGACCGAAGGGACTGCCATGGGGCCTACCACTTCCTACATTCTCCAGGGTCGCAAGAACTCTGTTGCGCTTCTCCCTGGGGCGTTGGTGACCAGCAAATCTCCTCCCCCACACAACCTGAATGGAGCCCCCCTCCTCCGGACCCCCCTCCCCCCCTACATGGTTGGAATCTGTGGCTAGTCAGCTCTCAGAAGAAGTAAGGCTGGAGTATAGTCTCCCTTGGGTTTCAGGTAGGGATGCTTCCGAAGTTAAGGTGGACAGAGAAACAGCGAGGGAACTGAGTGGGCTGAACAGGGGGAGTGTTCTTGGGCGGGAAAGTGTGGCTGATTGTGTGGGGACAACTGGAGCAGATGGGGTCTCAAATTGGTACAAACCAGGAGGGGGGGCCCTAACCGGGGAGCTATCTGTGTCATGTATTTTCGAATGATGCGCGCAGATCCAAGTAAGGTGGCCTTTTGTAGTTGCCATATGTTTTGTCGATGTTTATTGTTTCGAAATGCTGGCTAAGATCTTTTGGCACGGCACCCAGTGCACCAATGACCACTGGGACCATCTACACTGGTTTATGCCAGAGCCTTTGCCGTTCGATTTTGAGGTCTTGATAGAGGCTGAGTTTTTCCAGTTGTTTTTCCTCAATGCGGCTGTCACCTGGTATGGCGACATCAATAATCCAGACTTGTTATTGTTGTTGTTATTGTTGTTAATTATTATTATTATTATTAGTAGTAGTAGTAGTAGTAGTATTTTAAAGTGACTGTATACAAGAGGAGATATAAAACAATGCATTGATGTTTACATTATCGGACAATGTATTTATTCACACCAGCTCACCATTTTATGTCATATGTTCAAATGCAACATTGTTGTATGCCCCATTTTACTATCCTAACAATTCTGTGGTTCGGATTAGGTCAAAAGATAACGATGGGCTTAAAGGTCGCCCTGTTTGCATCAGAGACATGAGATTTGAACCCAGATATCTTCAATTCTAGCTCAAAATATCCTAGCCCACTGTAAAGCGCTGGCTATGCTGTGATGTCATCATGACTATATAGCTAAACAATACAGGATGTTAAAAAATGTGATCTGTTAATCTGATACATCATGTCACATGATGTCCTTTAGTTTACACACACATCTTTTTAGTTTACGCACTAGATCGAAGCAAACAAAATAATTATGTGTTTTATATGACTTGAATCCATTTGTATCAAAGAGTAGGAATTTTTTTGATACATTACTCTGAGTTTTGAGGATGTTATATCCAGTGGGGGTAGTTGCTAAAGATAGGAAGTTGTTTACATACAACACACCCCTCATCTACAAGAGGTTTGCTACTGTGGTTCAAACTGACATACTCATGTGGAACCATTTCTCAGGATGCATTTATTTGATGGGCTTGGAAATGCTTCTAGGTGGTGGCGTTCCACGTGGCTATGGGCCAATAACAATTAGATACAGCATTATCCTTATTATTCCATTTTTGGCCGAATATTTATTTATTTACCATATATGTACCCTGCCCTTCTCACCCCAAAGGGGGCAACAATTTGATCCCTTATCAAACAAACAATAATAAAATACATATTCATTAAAACTTAATTATTAAAAGAGCAATATAAACATTAAAAAAATTATTAAAACCACACAGTCCGAAATCATAGTCAAGGTTGTTCCAGTCATGTTGCACATATTCCATTTTCTCTTATTGTGGTGTTTCAAAATTATTGTGTATGAACCCCTTGTTGTAAACCGGCCTGAGTGAGAAGACCGGTATATAAAAGTTCTAAATAAATAAATAAATAAATAAATAATTATTGCACTGAGCTCCTACCCAAAAGCTTGGCCCCAGAGACATGTCTTCAGTTTCTTTCTGATTTTACTGGGGAGGGAGTTCCATGCTGAGGGGCCACCACTGAGAAGGCTCTGTCTCTCATCCCCACCACCTGCACCTGTGAAGGAGGTGGGACTGAGAACAGGGCCTCCCCAGACGATCTTAATATCTGATGTATTGTATTTCTTCAGTTCTAAGACACACTTTCCTCCCTTATATAGATATCTCTAAAATGGGGTACACATTAGAATTCAGGTTTATATTATGTATGTTTGATGGTGGTATTGAAATTAGGGTGCGTCTTACAATCAATAGCGTCTTGCAATTGAAGAAATACATTAATATTGGTCCTGATTCTTTGGTTATGGGGTGGGATGTGTGGGGAGATGATCCCATGGTGCCATGAAGGAATCCTAACTAACTTCTTAAAAACATTTCAGGCAATGTGCCCAGTGAAAAGAACGGTGTTTCTTTCAACATGCAAAATGGTGATGTGCGACTGGCCGACTTCTCAACAAAACAGATTGTTTTCCAAGAGAACAATGACACAGGACACAAGAAATCTTGCATTTCATGGCGAAGGACTTCAAAGAGAGGGAGCCTGCACTTCATTGAACCTATGTGACATTTTTTAAAAAGCCTTTCCATGGCATGCAGGTTTCTTTTAACATAATGTGAGAAGACCAAATTGTGAGAAGACCAAAAAAAAAAGGACATTATTTAATATACAATAGCAAAGCTTTTAGGCAATACCAGTTTGTCAAAGAGTTTGCATTATCCTTTCTTTTAATGCCATTGGTATTGAGAAGGTACTTTAGACATAGCATTATGGCTGGAAAAAAATGACCGGCATAATATGTGTTGTTGTTTTTTTTTAAATGATGGATTTTAGAAGATCCTTTTACAATTTCAGCTTACAGTTGAAAGGTTATGCAATAATGTATTAATATAGAAAACTACAAGCTAAATGTTGAAAGAGATACTTAAATTGTCTTTCAAAGTTATGTGATGCCTATACCTTTTAAAGAGGTACAGTAACAGACATCATAGCATTGTATATAGCCTCAATAACATCTACCCTTGATTATCCTATAATTTTATATTTATTGCTTGTAAATTAAATTTAATATTCCTTTGTATAGAAAAAAATAGTTCTGCAGAGTCTTGAAGTTTTATTTTAATTATACATATCTACAAAGTTAATGGTTATCTCATTGACATTTCCATAGAAAGCATGCTATGTACACAAAATGACTTTAAACAGTCCTCTATAATTTGGGAAGAAGATCAACATGTAAATATAAATTCTGTCACCAGAGAAGTTCTAACTCCCTAGCAGTTAATTAAGTTTATTGCCAACAATCAAGAATTTCATAGCATATGAAAGGCTGATAGGAAAATAATGATAAACACAATTTTAAGCCTTCTCTTGGTCTAGGAGTCATGGTGGAGCAATGCATTAAATCCTTGTGCTAGCTGAACTGCTGACCTGAAGGTTGTGGTTTGAAACCGTGAGATGGGATGAGCTCCCATCTGTCAGCTCCAGCTTCTTGTGCGGGAACATGAGAGAAGTCTCCCACAGGATGGGAACACATCCAGGCATCCTCTGGGCAACATCCTTGTAGACGGCCAATTCTTTCAAATTGCTTCTGACAGGATAAAAAAGCTGCTACTGGTGAAATCCACTTCTTTATTTGGACTAATTGCATAGAGACATGCATATGCATATGAGCCATTCACAACTGGAATCAGGACACGGGGGAATGAAGGATCATTTTGACAGCCAAGAATCCACCCATTTCCCACATTGGCTTTCAGTTCATCTGTATACAGTGCAAGAAAAAAGTATTTAATCAGATGCCAATTGTATAAGTTCTCCCACTGTCTGATTTGTAACAAATTTATTTGCAAGGAAGGGAAGGAGGGAGGAAAAAGGGAAGGAAGGATGAAAAGGTGGAAGGGAAGGAAGGAGGAAGGGAGAAAGAGGGAGATAAGGAAAGAAGGGGAGGAGGAAGAAAGATGGAAGGAAGGAAGGAAGGAAGGAAGAAAGAAAAGATAGGATGGTGTGGGAGAGGAGGGTCTGAAAGAAGAGGGAAAGGACTGTACATCTGTGAAATGAACAATCTGTACATCTGTGAAGTGTTTAGATTAATGCCTTATGCATCTCTGTTGAGGTTTTCTGTTGTCTCCTGGGGTGGCTCTGAAGCTATGGGATGGCTTACAAATTTTTAAAAATACATATGTGGCTGGCAGAAGGCATTTGGTCTAGAAATGGTATATCATAGTACTATTTCATTAAGATACAATATTAGAAGAAATAGTTGCTCAAACCAATGGCGTTCTGGGATTTGGTCCTAGCTCCCCTGCTCCTGTGGATATCAAAACCCATGGGTGCTCAAGTCACAATATATATAATGCACAATATATATAATGCAATAGTAAAATAGTATTTCTTGTATATATGATAAAATCAAGTTTTGTTTTCCTTGGGAATTTTTTTGGAGGATGGTGGTAAATCCATAAACACAGTGGACCAACTGTATTGTTTCTTGCTGCACTGAAATAGCAATAAGTTTGTAGATTTGGAATGCCACATCTTTACACCATTTAGAAACATTTGTAACAGTCCAACCTAATATTAAAATAGTGAAAAAATGGAAATGGGGAGTTCAAAATAATGGAGGAAATGCAGAGGAAAAAATAAAAGAAGGAAACGAAGAAGAAAAAGAAGAAAATATATCTGTAGATTGAAACTTATGCATGTCAGGTTGAAATCTGAGGTTGGGTTGATGGCTAATATGTTACGATTACTGCAATAAGTGATAATTTTGACTTGATTGTGGGGAAGACTGACATGAAGAAAAATCCCACATCTACCAACAGTACAAGAAAGAGTAGGAACACCAGTTAGTAGAAGCAGCAATATTACAACTAGGATGGAAACCGGAATTTGCAAAAGAATATAAATTTTGAATAGTTTTACAATAGGAACACTAAAGTCCCATCTGCACTGCAATAGAAAAGAGAGACTATCTGTTTTGAATTAGATTATATGAGTCTACACTGCCATATAATACAGTTCAAAGCAAATACCCTGGATTTTATATAGCAGTGTAGATGGGGCCTAAATATCTCCACCCTTGTGAATTATTATAGTGGAATAAAGCTTTACGGCAGAGGGGCCAGATTATTGTATGAATACACCCATTTCTAAAACAGTTCTGGTTCCAGAAACAAATGGGACCAACAGCATTGTATTATGTGTATCTGTCTTCCAGCCCCACCACAATTTGCACTTGGATCTATTGGGTGGATGGCCAGGACAAGTAAAAATAAACACACGCTGTACACAAATCTCATATTTCTATTGCTTCATTGCATACAACGCTCAAAAATCATTAAAATTCTGCATATCATCAAGATAGTAATAAAGCATGACTCTTTTTAAAGCATCAACATCAGAATGTAATAATGGAAGGTTTTAAGGTGAACCATGCACCCATCTCCTCTCATGCATTGCGGATATTGAGTGTCAACTGACTCCTCTGGTCTGCCGAATCATATCACTATCATCATATGGACTCCAGGACTTGGGCCGATAGTCTCATCATAGCTTGTGTGTGTAAAAAGACATTTCAGAAGGGTTTCTCCCCCCCTTCTGCTAGGAATGATCAGAAGTGCCGCTTGACTTTGTCACTGAAAGATTGTCCTGCAATGATACACATAAACACAAGTGTTCTTGTTCAGTCACTCTTTGGCACCTTTAATGTGTCCTAAAAGAGAAGGTCCTGAGATGTGGGACACCCTTGTCTTCCAGAAGCATACAATCCACCACGGATGAAAAGGTGATGTGGAAATCAGGTGCCTTTATCTACATTGCGTCTGATTTATGGCAAACCCATTGCGAACGCATTACGAAGCTTTCTTGGCAATATTTGCTCAGATGAGGGCTTTCCTTTGTCTTCTTTTGAGGCATAAATAGGGACAATGACTTTGATCCATTGCTTGCCTCCAGTAGAGCCAATAAATTGAGTTAATTTATTTCAGGGTTGATTTTCTAAGTTATCATTTTTTCAATGGGTTTAACTCTATATGACATTAATATCCCCCCCCCCCCCGATGGTGCAGCAGGTTAAACCGCTGAGCTGCTGAACTTGCTGACTGAAAGACTGGCGATTCGAATCCAGGGAGCAAGGTAAGCTCCTGCTGTTAGGCCCAGCTTCTGCCAACCTAGCAGTTCAAAAACATGCAAATGTGAGTAGATCAATAGGTACCACATATGCAGGAGGGTAATGGTACTCCATGCAGTCATGCTGGCCACATGATCTTGGAGGTGTCTACGGACAATGCCAGCTCTTTGGTTTAGAAATTGAGATGAGCACCACCCCCCAGTGTCGGACCACGACTAGATTTAACATCAGGGGGGAGTTTACCTTTACCTATGTGCATTTAAGCCATTAAACAGAGCCAACAATGAACATTTTTTAATCGCGTTGGAAGCGACTCGAGAACATACTGCAAGTCACTTATGGAAGTGAGAGAATTGGCAGTCTACAGAGACGTTGCCCAGGGACGCCCAGACGTATTACCATCCTGCTCGGAGGCTTCCCTCAAGCTAGAGATGACAGATGGGAGCTCACCCTGGCAACCTCCGGGTCAACAACCCAACCTTCAGGTCAGCAGTTCAGCTGGCACAAGGATTTAACTCACGAAGCCATCGCAGCTCCACACTGAGCAGTTGACACCACTTCAACTGCCATGGTTCAATGCTGTGGAAACATGGGAGATGTAGTTTTGCAAAATCTTTAGCTGTCTTTGCCAAATAACAAACTTGCAGCTCCCAGGATCCCATGGCAGTCAAAGTGGTGTCAAACTGCATTAATTCTGCACTGTAGAACACCACTGCACAAACTGGATGGGGATATTAAAATATTAGTTATGATGCATTTAAAAATGGTCCAATTTTCAAATCTTGTTTGTTTTGGCAGCTGACAGAGAGAGGACACAGTGCACAAACCCCATCCCCATTCTGTCCTTGCCAAGGAAGGGAGGCTGGCAAGCAACCAGGTCCTGGCAGCTACATAAAAACGGCTAGTTAATTAATAATGCAAAGAGCGGACATGGAGTGCATCCATTAATGCACTTCCTTGTAACGCATGGAGCACACCATAAAGGGAACCCAGCTTTTTTTCTTCTCTACCCTCGCACGCCTCTACGGAGAATACATATCCCAGTAGCCTTTTAGGACCCGCCGTAGAGGCAGGACACAAAAGAAGGGGGCGGGCGGCTGAGGGCATTTACGGCGCCGTAAACACCCTAATAGAGCGGAAGAGGCATTCCTGGGCCCCAAGGGCGCTGCTGTCCGCTTGAAAACACCCATCTGGAGGGGATAGACAGCTCCTCCGGACGAGTTGGAGCAGTTTTGCAAGGAATCGGGTTTCTATGCAGTGGGAAGGGAGCTTCTTCCTTCTGGTTTGCTTTGGGGAGTAACAGCACTCACCCACAGCCTATGCAGGTAAGGGAATTCCTCATTTTTGGTCTTTCCCAGCATTTCTTTTGCTGGCAAACTTGGGGGCGCATCCTATTGATGGAAGGCAATGTTTTAAGGAGGGGATCGGATAGATGACCTTGGGGGGACCCCTTAGTTCCTGGCCCCACGTCCCCATCTACACTGCCCTATGGTGAAACTCATATGATGCAGTTCAGTGGAGGAGAACTGCTTATGGGTGTCTACTGCACTGACCCTTTCAAATTGCATTATATGGCACTGCATTATGTGGCACCCCAGGTTTTGTAAAAGGAGGTGAATTGCTTTAAGTGGCATTCTGTAAAAGCAAGACTCCCCAAGATATATTCTGATCCAGATTCCCCTGGATCTATCCCAGGCCAAGGAAACAAAATCCCAAATCCAGAAAAGTGGCGTACCTTTCTTGGCCAACCCAAATGCCCCAAAAACATGGTGCAAATCTTTCAAAATGCTCCTAGCAGCCGAGGGGGGAAAGGAAGGGGTATGAGGCGGTTAGGAATGGTGGGAGTTGAAGTCCAAAACACCTGGAGAGCCCAAGTTTGCCCAGGCCTGCTTTACATGATAGAATCATAGAGCTCTTCTTGCCATTGTGTGGAAATCACAAAGTAACCAGCAATTGTGGGAAATTACATAGGCAAGTAGGTCATGTGGCGGCAAAAAAAAAGCCAATGGGATTTTGGCCTGCATCAGTAGGAGCATAGTGTCTAGATATAGGGAAGTAATGCTACTCCTCTGTTATGCCTTGGTTTGACCACACCTGGAATATTGTATCCGATTCTGGGCACCACAATTGAAGAGAGATATTGACAAGCTGGAATGTGTCCAGAGGAGGGTGACTAAAATGATCAAGGGTCTGGAGAACAAGCCCTATGAAGAGCGGCTTAAGGAGCTGGGCATGTTTAGCCTGAAGAAGAGAAGGCTGAGAGGAGACATGATAGTAATGTATAAATATGTGAGAGGAAGTCACAGGGAGGAGGGAGCAAGCTTGTTTTCTGCTTCCCTGGAGACTAGGACGTGGAACAATGGCTTCAAACTACAAGAGAGGAGATTCCATCTGAACATTAGGAAGAACTTCCTGACTGTGAGAGCTGTTCAGCAGTGGAACTCTCTGCCCCGGAGTGTGGTGGAGGCTCCTTCTTTGGAAGCTTTTAAATAGAGGCTGGATGGCCATCTGTCAGGGGTGCTTTGAATGCAATATTCCTGCTTCTTGGCAGGAGGTTGGACTGGATGGCCCAGGAGGTCTCTTCCAACTCTATGATTCTAAGTGATATTCAAGAGTATTTGTTTTGGATTTACAGAATGACATTTTAGGCCTCTTCCCAGCCACGAAACCTATGGGGAGTCATGTCATCTCTACTCAGTTTTCCTTCCAAAATTATTGTGAGAATAAAATAGAAAAAGTCAGTGCAAACTGTCCTAACTTTTGTCATCAAACTTCCTTAGGCAAGATCCATACAGGATAACGAATGAGCAAATTTCTTAGGATTTGGAATGATTTATTAATTCCACTGTCAATATACGTACTCAATGCAGTTTATTAACCATACTGTAAAGTCATGATAAACCAGTTATATAGGAATTGTTAAACATGTAGAATAGCACACAGAAGAGCATTCTTGCATGACGGGGAAACTCCCAAATGCGTTTTTGTTGACATCTGTTTTGTTTATTTTGGAACAAGGATGCCCGCTGTCTTCAAGAGTTACAGTCTGGTGGGCTGATGGAGGAATGAGCTGGCAATGCCAAAGCCTGCTGCAACCAGTCACACCTTTTCTCCTGAACAAGTTTGAGCACCTTTGAGATGAGGAGCAGAAGCAACTCTGGAGTCCGCTTAGATGGCTATGCGAGGCTTGTTCAGCAGACTATTTTGAACCTCCAGGTCAGTGCAGGTCATACAGATGGATGGGCCATTCCCCTTAATAAAAAGCTATATTTATATATACATGCAAATCCTCTCTCTCTTTCTCTCTCTTTTTCTCTCTTTCATCTATCTATGTGTGTGTGTATAGTATGTATAATATATATAGATATAATGTTAGTCCCTGGTGGTGCAATTGGTTAAACTGCTGAGCTGCTGAATTTGTTGACCAAAAGATCTGTGGTTTGAATCTGGGGAGCGAAGTGAACTCTCACGTTTAGCCCCAGCTTCTGCCAACCTAGCAGTTAGAAAACATGCAAATGTGGGTAGATCAATAGGTACCATTCTGGCAGGAAAGTAATGGTACTCCATTCAGTCATGCTGGCCACATGACCTTGGAGACATCTATGGACAATGCCAGCTCTTCGGCTTAGATGAGCACCACCCCCCAAAGTCAGACATGACTAGACTTAATGTCAAGGGGAAACTTTTACCTTTTATAATGTTAGCAAACATTGTTTATTTATATCTGTCTGTGAGGTTCTTAAATTAACTAAGTGTATAGAGCAGGGGTCCTCAAACTAAGGCCCGAGGGCCGGATACGGCCCTCCAAGGTAATTTACCTGGCCCTCACTCAGGGTCAACCAAAGTCTGAAATGACTTGAAAGCACACAACAACAACAACAACAACAACAACAACAACAACAACAATCCTATCTCTTCAGCCAAAAGCAGACCCACACTTCCCATTGATATACTAATAAGTTTATATTTGTTAAAATTGTTCTTCATTTTAATGATTGTATTGTTTTAAAGTGTTTTTTACACTACAAATAAGATATGTGCAGTGTGCATAGGAATTCATCATCCTTTTTTCAAATTATAATCCGGCCCTCCAACAGTTTGAGAGACTGTGATCTGGCCCTCTGTTTAAAAAGTTTGAGGACCCCTGGTTATAGAGTATTCCAAGTCATTTAATGAAATACTTTTATTTCTGTGGGAACAGGTATTTAGTAGTGTCTGTCAACTTTAGGCAGAGAAATATAATGTCCATCGTGTGTTTAAAAAGATATATTGTATGTATTCCCTTTAGTATCCTCTGGGGTTTGATTCCAAAACACACTGCCCTTTGTGGATACCAAAATCTGTGGATGCTCAAGTTTCATTATGTACAATGGCACAGTTAAATGTGACTCTTTATATAAAAAGACAAAGTCAGGGTTTGGTCTTGGGGAAGATATAGATATACATATATAGAGAGAGCTGTGGATGGTTGAATCAATGGATGCAGAATCTGTGGCTATTGGGGGTGAGTCTGCCAAAGTGCCTATGGCATGGAAGAAAATTGGACTGCCTAGGATACCTTGCTAGCTGGGGATGTTTGTAGCTGTCTTTAAAACAGATAATGTTTCTGAGCTTCAGAAGTTTGACACCCCTGGTCTAGAGTGTGTTAGGTTTCCATTACCTAGGCTGTAAATATTGTAGATGATATACTGAGATAGTACCAGTCCAAAAGAAGAGGGAGATATGACCATATTTGAGGGAACACCAAGACTCGAAGACCTATTAAAGCAAACAACAAGGAAGTCTTATTTGTAGGAGACCCCTTGGATAGCCTAATGACAATGAAGCTTGCCCAGAAATTATGCCCGATTTTTGAGAGAGTGAGAATGGAGAATGGAATGGCATAGCTTTGATCCTGACTAGCAGAATTAAGTTTTGTTACATTCATATTGCAGGTGACACTTGTGTGAGTGTAATTGATAGCATTGTTTATTTATTTATTATTTTCTGCATTTATAACCTGCCCTTCTCATCCCTGAAAGGGGACTCAGGGTGGCCTCACACCAAACACGATCGGTGCTTTCACATAAGCATCTACTGTATTAAAGATAGTTGCTGCTGCTCACCTATACCAATTTTGATGTATGCGGAAGCCACATATCCTGTCCTAAATGCCAAACACACATGATTGTTCACTCTGTGAACCTGCAAAAAAAGAGTATGGTATTGACACAAGCAAATGTACATAGGGTATACTCTTCCCTCTATGTAGATTTATAGATTTATAATTGAAGGGGCCTCTAGAGGAGACGCTAAACTCGGTAATTTTACTATAAACATTGGTTTGCCTTTTTTATTTTAATAGCTGGCTGTTAAGATTTCTTAGATTGATGTAAAAAAATTCAGACAATGTCAAAATTGAAAAGTGCTAGATAAACATAATTGTCTATAGCTGATCATCTTTATCTTAATTAGCTAAGGGAATTAGAGCACTGGCCTAAATTCAATTGTTAGTCCTAATTTGAATAGACATACTGAATCAATGAAAATTTGTTAAGTCGACACAATAAATTCGATTCATTCAGTTGATCCATTCTAACAGTTGGATTTAGGCCAATGCACGAAGTCTATCAATTCATTAATTTAAAGGTATTTTACTGTTGCAAACTGTACTGTCTTTTGACTTAGTCTTCAATTAAAATAGTCTGATCTTGTAGTAATGGGAACAAGGGATTTTGCTTTTTGTTAGTCACTTTCTTTCTCAGTTCTTGTGGGTTTTTTCGGGCTATATGGCCATGTTCTAGAGGCATTTCTCCTGACGTTTCGCCTGCATCTATGGCAAGCATCCTCAGAGGTGAGGTCTTTCTTTCTGTTAGTCACTTTTGAAGTCAATAGGGCTTCATGAAAAGTTTGTTTGGCCTAATACCCCAAAGGCACTAGATCCTATCTGATCCAGGAAGCTAAGCAGGGTCAGTCCTTGCGTGGGAGGTTCAATGAATTTCAAGTAGTAAAAGCTAAAAGTTTTTCCTTGACATTAAGTCTAGTCGTGTTCATAGCCGCCTCTGAGGCTGACTGGATGGAACACTTTACCTATTGATCTACTCACATTTGCATGTTTTCAAACTGCTAGGTTGGCAGACCCTTTGAAATTCTTGCGGTTATCATATACAACTTAAAAGCACACACACACACACATGTGCAGGTTTATACTTGAAAGAGTTGTCTTTTCTCTCTTTCCTTTGATCTCATTTTAACTGTTTCATTAATACCTTCCCCTTCTTTTCTCTTCCCCCCCCCCCCCCCCCCCCCCCCCCACTTGAGTAAACATCAGTGCAACAGGATGTTCAGGATAAGTATTTCTGCCTATCCTGGCATTGCTGTGACTTGGAAATTGAGGAACTAGCAGCTGGAGAGGGGAGCTCATTGCAGACAGGCTACACTATTTTAATCTTTAAATATGTTTTAATATGTGTTTATTGTAGAAATATATTTTTATAAAAATTTACATATGGAATCTTTACAGTGATTATGTACAAAGAAAGGTGGGATAATAATAATAATAATAATAATAATAATAATAATAATAATAATAGTAATTTGTCCCTTGTGCTGCCTGAATGTACAGTTGAAGGCGGGGGGAGGGGGGGAGAAGAGATAAATATGTGTGTGTATTTAAAGATGTTCAGTATTTGTTTCTGTATTCGTTTCAAGTGGGGGAAAAAACCAGTAATGCATTCTTGATTTCAGCGTGGAAGTAGCTGTAACATTACTGCAGTCTTAGGAGAATCTGATATTATGCAAGCTCTTGTGTTTACCAGAATGGCACAGCAGGGCTGGACTCTGACTCCAGCACAATCCGTTTATTTAGTCTTTAATGGCTCCACCAAAGGCAACAAAAATGTGGAATCTTCACACAGGTTAACTGCGAGTCAAATCCATCCATTAGTGCTTTTGTAATGTGGTGACTGTCTTTTGAATTTGAAAGGGAAGCCATTCAATGGAGAGTGAAAATGCTCAGTGTTTTGGTTTGTGATTTTCTCTTTCTGTGTATATGTGTGGATAGATTTTGGCTGCTTCCTTCACAATATAGCAGTGGGGGCACACTTTTAATAAGCCTTGCTGACACACAGTCTCGGTAACATCACTGCAAGAAGAAAAGTCCTAAGGCTTTTGTTAGGATTGCCTTTGAAGCAAAACCCACTGATTACAAATTCAGATTCAGTGCAGAAACTAAATGCGGGTTTTGTGACCTCGCTTCATTGCCTAACCGGTCAATCAGACATATGGGTGAATTGGCATTTTTGGACAGCCTTGCACCCATCTGTTCTGGCCTGGCTGCCTTGGCATTGTATTTCAGCTCACCTTAAAAGGCTCCAGTTCAATATCACAGCCATGTGGTCAGCAGACTGCCGTGATTGTATTGACACCTGAGACTTCACAGGATGAGAGAACTGTCCTTTCATGACTTTCCAGATTCACTCAGCAGCTTGTGAGGTCATGTTGTTCCCAGTAAGAGATAGCTTTTTGTGTATGGGCACGTTGAGAACAGCCTCTCGGTTACTGTCCAGCTACAATGCCCGTGTTCGGCTAAAGCCAGGCAGTTGTTTTGGTGTCAGTAGGTATGCTGTTTAGAGGCTTAATGTTGCCTGCATTGGTACATGCTGGGAGCAAGGGCTGGTCCAAGACATTTTGTTGTCAACAGCAGGCCACTTCCTCAAGTAGAAGATTCAGGGTATCATAATGAAATGTCAACTGCTTTATTATTTTATTACTTTATTTTTAGCTTGGAGGCAGAGAGAGGTTCTTGCGGTATTTTCTGTTCCATGTACCAAAATAAACAGATCGCTGTGGTTGCTATGTGCATCTTGAAGTTTACTGCTCTCCTTTAGGCAGCTAAATGTCTTGGGATGGCACTCATAGTTGTGTGTTATATCTGTGAGCTAGGATTCCACTGCTGATTTTTCTTTTTCTATTGATGTTTGGCATGATGTATTGGAATTTAGTCAAAATCCTTTCTTCCACTAAATATGTTTTTTTGATTTCAATGAGAACATTATCATACTTTTCTTTAAATTTGTGTTACTATTTAAGCTTTGAATAACAATGAAACGTCATCATAATAATTTTCATTGGTATAGTACCATTCCCACCAGGATGGTGGGATTTAGGGACACTGTATGCTTAGCCAGCATGGTGTAATGATTTCAGTGTTGGAGTAAGACTCTGGAGACAAGGGTTTGAATCTACACTTGGCTATGAAAAACCCACTGGGTGACTTTGGAAGAGCCCTACACTCTCAGCTTAAAAGAAGGCAAAGATAAAACCCCATTTAAACAAACATTGCCAAGAAAACCCAATGATAGGTTCATATTAGGGTTGCCATACATTGGAAATGACTTCAAGGCACATTGGAACAACAATGTCCATTTATGTGGATGAGTTTTGTACTTCATTCACTTTATGAGGTTTTCAGCTCCTGGACTATGGCCTGTCATTAGTAATAAAGTCACTTATTGAAAATCCAAATAAGCCATGTATTTTAACACCAAGTAAGAAAGGCAGATAAAGTTCACCATACCTTTTAAAAAATTCAAGCAGTGTTAGGACATTTAATGGCCACTGAGGCTTTAATAGAAAAAAATGTTTAACTTGTTCTTAAATTAAGCTATTGCTTTAATAAATACACACAGTCATTTTGAACATTTAAATGCAATGGTTTTGTTCTATGATGTGGTCGATTACCCTTGTTTTAAATATGTCTTGTTAAAGCAGTCCCGTAATAACAGTTTGGGAGGTAAAAACTAAAATCCATTGTAACCCCCAGTGTCTTTGATGCAGTGGAACAGTTCCTAATAGTAGTTGTGGCTCTGTAAGATTTCACAACATGCCTCTCTTTAAACCTTGACGCCTGTCCAGAGGTGATTCCCCAGAATGTGCTTAAAATGTTCCGTTGCTTCTCTGGCACCAAGCCCTAGAACAAAACAGCAGCCAATCTCCTTCTCTTTCCTCCCACAGCAAGAAAAGGGTGCCGTATTTGTGCTGCACCTACACATATTGTTGCACTTGGGCATTATATAAAGCATGTTCCATCTTTTCTTTGAGGTTGTGTTCTGCCTGATGATCTTTCCAAACTTGGATCTTCTTCACAATGGGAGAAGCAGTGGGGTTGGAGTGGTTATTTCTAGGAATCATAGTCCAGAAAGTGTGTTTTCCATGCTCTAAATATAACACAGAGGCCCAGCGCAGTCCTTATAGTTCAAAAGAAAGACTTTTGCTTGAGATCCTGCAAAGAAACTGTAAGTGATCTGGTCCTGTGTAAGTTCATACTCACATCAACAGAAAAAGTGGGCAGATTTCTATATCTGTCCACTTTTTTTGCTAATGCAGATATGGCTTTGTTTCCCCGCCTCCTAAGTGTCTTAATTTTATCATATTTATATAGTAAAAAAAACATTGTGTCAGCATCCTTAGGATCAAAGACAACAGAACAGAAGAGTTGTATAAATAGATTTATACAGTACTGACAATTGGGGTTAGTCGTGACATTTGGCAAAGTGAGGTAGTTGTCTCAGGCCCCTTCTATCAAAAGCTGCCGAGAGGACCAGGAGAGTTAATTAAGTCACACTTCCCTGGCAAGCTCTCTACATGGATCATCCACCAAGACGACCAAAGCTGTTTCTGTTCCATGTCCCAGTCTGAAGTCAGATTGGAATGGATCCAGATAATCAACCTCATCCAGAAATCCCTGGAGTTTTTTTATCCACCACCCTATCCAGGATCTTACTAATAAATGGTAAATCAGATACCGTCTATAATTATCTAAGATTTTAGGGTCTAGGGACTGTTTTTTAGGAGTCTAACCACTATATCCTTTAAAGCAGTGGAGTCCAGGCCTTGATCTAGTGAGGCATTAATTAATTCCTGATCCAAATTGTACTTCCCTTGGCTTGTTTGACCAGCCATGAAGGGCAAGGGTCTAGGATGCAGGTGGTAGCTTTTACTTCTCCAAGGATTCTGCCAACATCCTCTTGGCTGTTTGTTGGAGGCAACCTATCCTTTGCCTTTTGTGTTGGTCTGTGGTGGAGAATTCTGTCCCATAATACAATAGTAAAATAAGATCCGAGTGCCAGGTGTACTCATAGTATGGGAAAAGGCACCATCTTGATATTTGGAATGGACAGTAACATGTTTTGGTTTGAACTGCTTAGAACGGTCAATGTGTTCACATATACATGTTGAATATCTCTTATCCAAAATGCTTGGGACCAGAAATGTTTGAGATTTTGGATTTTTTTAATACCTGTAGTTACCTGTAGTCCTTGGAGCTGGGACTAAAGCCTAAATACAAAATTTAATTACATTTCATACAAAATTACGTTACACAATAGCCTGAAAGCAATTTTACACATAATATTTTAAATGATTTTATGCATGAAACAAAAAATTTGTGCGCATGGAACCATCAGAGCAAGATGTCACTATCTCAGCCACTCATGTGGACAGCTTCCTATTTTGGATTTGGGTGTTACAGGTAATGGATGCTCAACCTGCACTAAAAGTCTTTACATATACTCTCTCAATTATGTCCAGTATTAACTCCATATAAAGATACTGAAGGACAGCAGGAATGGTAAAGCTATCTAATTCATTGTGGGAAAGAGATTTGAAAAAAGGATTACTTTCTCATTTTTGTGTGAATTATTTGTGCTTTTTGTTCTGCTCCTTAGAAATATGTTTGTTTTTAAGAACCCAGTTACAGGGCTGCTGTCTGCCAGCACAGAACAAAAGGATGCCTGGGTGCGAGATAACATCTATAGTATTTTGGCCGTGTGGGGCCTGGGAATGGCCTATAGGAAGAATGCAGATCGGGATGAAGATAAAGCCAAAGCATATGAATTGGAGCAAGTATGTCTATATTCTTATTATTTACTTTCTTGTATATAACCTACAGCTGAGATTTGATGTCAGATAATTGAGTTAATTTATGTCTTTGTTGATTTATGCAGTTCCCATTCATAGAGGGCATGAAAGTAATTAAATGCAGTCTAGAGGTTCATCTATACCAGTGGTTCTTAACCTGTGGGCCACAGACCACCAGTGGGCCACAAGGATGAAAATCTGGTCCATGGGCCTCCTTCCTCTTAGTTTTTTTATTTTATTTTATTTTCGCTCCTTTTGCACCTGCTGCCATTCCTTTTCTGTCTTGACCATGGCACATGTTCTGTATCAGAAACTATAGCTAATGTGGTATATCTAATGCAATTTTCTGAATCAGCACCCCAAATTGAACCTAAAGTTGACCAAAAACTGATTCGTAACCCTTTTGGTACTAATGTTGAGTGGTTTCTGGTCAAAATGGTTTCTGGCCAAGTAGTCCCTGGTCAAATGGTCCTTGGTCAAAAAAAGATTGGGAACTACTGATCTACACTGTAGACTTAATGCAGTTTGGGAACACTTTTATTGCCATGGCTCAATGCTATAGAATCATATGAGTTGTAGTTTGGTGAGACAACAGCACTTTTGGGCTAAAGAAGTGGTTAAAAAAATGACTGTACTGTAGCCTTGAATCATTGAAGGGCAAAACATTATGCTTGTACTTAAATCTTCTAGGTTTTAGCAGCATCTTTTCATACAGTGTTTCCCCTGTGAAAGAGAAAGAGTGCATGACTATTCTAGTTATTTATTTGGAGGGAAAAGACATCTCAAGTTGGACAATGTGATAATTTTAACATCTAAATATTGTGTAGTTCTATAACAATACATCACTTTGAGGACTCATGTGAAGTGGTTTTAATGTGTTTCTTTATGCGTCAAAATATCAGGGTCCTCAAGCTATGGACTAAATGGTTTTTTTTATGTACAACGAATTCCAGTTCCACAAATTCCCAAGTAATATTTTAGATATTGTCTTCAGAAGGCTGGTTCAGGTACAAAGATGAATGATCACTGACATTTCCCCCTTTTCTTATGTTCCCACAGAATGTTGTAAAACTGATGCGAGGGCTTCTGCAGTGTATGATGAGACAGGTAATAATACGCAGAATGTCTTCATTTTTCTGTCACATGAACACTACAATTTATAGGGTTATGTTTAAGATGAATCAGGCTAGATTCAAATAGTTCTTCTGGTTGTAATATTCTTTCTTAGCAATTCCTTTGAAACCATTTCAGTTTAAAAGAAAGTGCATTTGGACTTTAATTATAATAAATAATGAGCCTCATTAAAATTATTCCAAATGCAGACTGTTATAAATGTCTGTTGATGTTGAAACTATTTGAAATGTGAGATTTCCTATGTAGACTGTATTGCAGTAGTCTAATTGGGATGTTTCTAATGCAAGGTCTACTGTGACTAAGCTATTCCTGTCTAAGAAAGGTCAAAACTAGCAGACTTACGAAAAGTAGCCGCAGATACTTGAAGCTATAGAGTCCAGTTGAGACACCAGAAACAAAGATGGATATAAGAGTATTTCCACGTATACATCTATTCTCCTGTGGAAAGTGCAGACCCATACAAGGCACGAAGCTGACCCACACCATGGACCTGTGAATCTCTAATTCTCATAGCTACCTAGACGAAATATCAAGGAGTTCAGAATGTAAAGTCTAAAAAGTCATATTTCCAAGAATGACGGATGTTCCAGTGTGGGTTAGGGGCCAGTTTTCTTATTCTAAGGTTGCCAAAAATGCCTCTTCCAAATTCTGGAAGTAGCTGAAAATACACATCCGGTATATATCTGGTTTTGAAAAAATGTTCAGAGAACATTGCAAGGTACCTAAAAGTGAATTGCTTTCATGAAAGACACACATCTGTTCTTCTTTTGCACAGAAAAGTTTTGGTCTTGAGGATAATTTATTATTTATTTATTTATTTAGCAGTTTTGTATACCAGTCTTCTCACCTCTGTTGCTGCAAAGAAAGCTTAGGGGGCACATACAACTCTTTGGACATACTTTGCTTGTAGTTGAGCTGCTTTCACTTGTTCAAATTAATTTGAGATAAATATTTGATTCCACATTAAATTTGAAGACTCCTTGCTGAATCAAACTTGTATGTTGTAAGGGCAAGCACATTATTTTGATAGATTAAGAACCCTGACATTTAAGTGAATCTGAAATGGGACACTTCAGCAGAATCATTTTATTTCAATGTCCAGGCTTCAGAGATCACTCTCAAAACATTGTGTATTTTTCTTAGGTAGATAAGGTTGAAAAGTTCAAGCACACGCAGAGTACCAAGGACTGCCTGCATGCCAAGTATAACACAGCGACTTGTGGGACAGTAGTTGGTGATAATGAATGGGGACATCTGCAAGTAGATGCCACTTCCCTTTACCTCCTCTTCCTGGCTCAGATGACAGCATCAGGTAAGTCACAGGAGTCATTATTCTCAAAGAACCGTTTGACATTGTGCTTTTTCCTGCATGGCAAGGTTTTGGATTGGGTGGCCCTGGTGGTCTCTTCCAACGCTATGATTCAATGATTGTTATAACTGGTCAATTATAAAAGGTCATAATTAGAAATATAATAATGGTCTGCACTGATGGTGCCAATATGGTGTAGTGGTTTGACTACAACTCTGGAGATTAGAGTTCTAGTCCTTGTTCAGCCGTGGAAACCCACGGTCTTGGACAAATCACACTCTCTCAGCCTCAGAAGAAGGTAAAGTCAACCTCCCTCTGTAAATGACTTGAAGTCACACAACAACAATCTGATTGTGAGTGGGCAAGCTACTACAAAACAGTCATGCTGCTATGTCAACCATGTTAGTTTTAGGATATTTGGGAGTTATTGTCCAAAGCGCTAACCTGTTTCAAGACCTGAGCCTCCTGTAGTTATCTAAAGGGCTTGATCTTCTCCAGAATTACAGGAAAGCACACACTCATGAATTTGTTGTTGCCTTTTTACACTGTCTGCACGTGAGTATGCCAGCACATATTTTCCATGTATTACGTAAGACATTCATCCTGCAGATGATTGATTGACTACCCACAAAGCAGATGGTCATTTCATCACTTCACCATCTGCCCTTTTTAAAAAAAATACTCAGCGGCTTCAGCATATTGCCTTAGGTACATCCTTATCTGGCCTTTGACCAAATACAGAGGGAAGGGAGAGTGTCTGGTATACAGGTGGAATATCCCTTGCCTGAAATGTTTGGTAGCAGAAGTGTTTTATATTACAGATTTTGAAACATTGTTCCTGCTATATGCATAATAAGGTATTGTGGAAATGGGTCCATCATAAGATATCTTAGAAATAGGTCCAAGTCTAAATTTATTTATGTTTCAAATACATCTTCTACACATAGTCTAATTCTATTTATTATTTTAAACAATTTTGTGCATAAAACAAAGTTTAAATGCTTGGAAAGCAAAAAAAAAAAAAAAGTGAAGACCTGGCTGTTTGTGCAGGCGTTCGAATAATTAGTGCAATGATTGGTAAATGAACATAGGAATGGAACAATGGATGACGAATCTGGATTATGTTTCTGTTGATGATACGATAGTGATTGGTTATTGTAGTAATTGTTTATTAATTGTGTAATGTGTTAAGTTGTTAACTGTTTTTACTCTGTTGCATTGAATTTTTGCTGTCCTTATTGGTTGTGAACCACTGTGAGTCGCCTTCGGGCTGAGAACAGCGGTATAGAAGTAAAGTAAATAAATAAATAAAATAAATAAAAATGCTACTATTTCAGCCACTCATATGGACAGTTTTAGATTTTGGAGTATTTTGGAATTTCAGATGAGGGATGTTCTAAATGTCATGGAGCACTCATTTACCAGGATGTGAAGTTAACAGAATAGAGCTATGGGCAAAAGAAACAGACATGCATTTTATTTGCAATGTTCTCAACATAAAAGAAGCCCCCCGTGGCACAGCGGGTTAAACCGCTGAGCTGCTGAACTTGCTGGCCAAAAGGATGGTGGTTCGAATCTGAGGGCGGGGTGAGCTCCCGCTGTTAGCCTTAGCTTCTGCCAACCTAGCAGTTTGAAAACATGCAAATGTGAGTAGATTAAAAGGTACCAATTTAGTGGGAAGGTAACGGCGCTCCATCAGTAATACCAGCCACATGACCTTGGAGGTGTCTATGGACTACCCCCCAGAGTCGGACATGACTGAACTTAATACCAAGGGGATACTTTTCCTTTACAATGTGAAAAGGAAATTTGTGCTAGAATCTTCCTTCTTTTAGAAATGTAGGAATGCTGGTGAAGAGGCATGGTGAAATAAAGAGTTTGTTTCTAAGAATCATTAAATATGATATGTTTTTATATTGTGCTATATGAGACAAAAAAGACACCAATTGCAGGTGTAATTTCAGGATGGAATCCCGATGGTGTACTAGGATAAAATCCTTTAGAAGTCACAAGGTTTACCAGCTGGTGATAGCCAGTAAAATCAGTCTCCTCCTTGCAGTCTGTGTCTGCAAAACCTTATTTCCTTCTCTTTGCTGTGCTTGTAACTTTTCTCTAAACCAATGTAGATGCACTGTCACTTTGCACCTTTAAAATTTCAATCTTAGAGTCTAGTATGTATGTGTAATTTAGGCATTTGCAATCAATAAGAAAATGTTTCAATGGTCATTACAAAATTAGGGGGTGCTGGTATTTTGTTTCCAAGGTTTTTCTAAAGTATAGTTAGTGAAAATTTTGTTACTATAAGGAGAGTAACGAAATGTCATTACTTTTTTGTTGTAGTAATTGCATATAATTACTATAATTGGGGAAACTTCAGGGGCTCCTTTCTCCCTCATTTTACAGCTATTGGGTTGAAACTTGCTACAATGGTAGAACACATTTACCACTGTTAGCCCATCAAGTTTCAGAACATTTCACTTATCCATGGATTTTTGGGGAATTTCCAAAGTTTTTATAAACAATATTTTAAAAAAAACACGAGCTATTTCTTTGTATTAAGTACATTCCGATTCTTAAGTTTTTGGCTCAGGCCACATCCACGTGTCAGGTATTGCCTTGTAAGTACAACTTTGATATGATTTACAAGGACTAACAAAAAAAATGCACACCTCTAATGTGTAGAGCATAAAGTTTCTCAAACTACATCACCAGATGTTTTGGACTTCTCACAGTTCTTAATAGCTGGTAAACTGGTAGCTAAAGTCCAAAACATCTGGAGGAGTACAATTTGAGAAACACTGGTATAACATGAACACACACACATGAGATAGCCAGCACTTTTATCAGTATGAATTTTCTGGTGTAATAGAAACTGCATGCAAATGTTTCCTTAAGTTATTTCCCTCTGCTTGACTCAACCAGGAATGTAGACCTGTTCAATTGATTCTCATATGGTTGTAATTACAATTGCTGTGCTGCAGTTTAATCATGTTTCTCTTTTTAATTAGGATTACGCATTATTTTCACTCTTGATGAGGTTGCTTTTATACAGAATCTTGTGTTTTACATCGAGGCAGCATACAAAGTTGCTGTAAGTATGTTTAATTTATATCCATAAACCCATGTTTTGGATCTACAACACTTCCAAGAGAATACTGTCTGGTGGCATAGTCTCCTCCAGTCCCTACATTGAGAGGAAGGCTGGTAAAAATAAAGATGAGGATGATAATAATAGTTTGAGCATTGGACTATGATTCTGGTGATCAGGGTTTGAATCATTGCTTGGCCATGAAACCCACTGAGGCCCCTTCCACACAGCTGAATAAAATCCTACATTTTCTGCTTTGACCTGGAACATATGGCAGTGTGGACTCAGATAACACAGTTCAAAGCTTATATTGTGGGATTTTCTGCCTTGATATTCTGGGTTATACAGCTGTGTGGAAGAACCCTAAGTGACCTTGGGCAAGTCACACACCCACTAGCCTCAAAGGAATTCAAAGCTAAACCCCCTCTGAACAATTTTTTTTACCAAGAAATCCCCATGATGGGATCACCATGAGTTGAAAATGACTTGAAGGCACAAAACAACAATAATTTTTTGTATCTGGCATTTTATTTATTTTCCTTTATATAAATAGGTATCTTTGGCAATAATCTGTGTTGTAATTTTTACAACAATGAAAAAGGTTTTAAAATAGCTTGCTTTTTATTTTTGTGGTTGTAAAAACTGATCAGAATGAAGATATGACTACCTGACATATCTTAATTTGCCAAAGAATGTGTAATTCAATTTAATGATCTGTTTAGATTGCTGTACTACCCTTCAGTGGAAGTTCCATGATGGCTTTTTGAAATAAAACAATGCCTACATTAATAAGATAGAATAAAAACAAAAAAATTAAATTTGTAAAAGTCTAAGGGATTAATAACATAATTATCTGCTATCCAGTGAAGTGAAATAGTACAACATCTGAAGTTCATGTTCATTAATCACAGTTTTCAAAATGAAGATACTTATTGGAAAATATATTACTGGAAATAGCAGTATTTATTTATTTATTTACCATATTTATATACCGCCTTTCTCAACCCAGAGGCGATTCAGGGCAGTTTACAATTGGCAAAATTCAATTCCCCTAACAACATAAAATATAATTAAAACAGTACTTTTGTTGTCGATATACATATGCCATTTGGGAAATATATATACTGACTTATTAAGGCAAGTTGTGTGGTAACATACTCCTTCTTAGTGCTGCAGCTTCCCCACTCAGCACACCGTGATTCAGTTTCTCAATAATTTCCTATTATATCTGAACCAAGAAACTATAGGAATCTAAAGCATAAAAAGTCGTGATCTTGAACCATTTCAAACTGGTTTAAGATCTTGGATTGTTCTACTCCTGGTAACTGGTTTGGATTTAATAGAGAACTGCAGTTAATTGATCCTGGAAGCGTTGATTAATGATGCATCAAGCAGGGAAGGTACAGCATGAGGAAGAACGATACTAGCGTTATGCATTTTTTCTTAAGAAGCTGAGAAATGTCTCCAGACTTAGCCATCAAATCAAATTTGATACTGCTTGCATAGTTTTTTATTTTTGCTAGTAATAGGGCATTGATATATTGCTGTTGTTGATACATGTCTAAGGATCTCTCTTCTCAAAATCCTTTTGCTTTCCTTTTTTGTTTCAGGATTATGGCATGTGGGAACGTGGTGACAAGACCAACCAGGGTATCCCTGAACTGAATGCAAGCTCTGTAGGAATGGCCAAAGTGAGGGCTGCTTTGTTTCTATATATCGATTATTAATTGCTTGTACGTCTACTAAAATGTCACACGATTCTGTGAAATTTAGGCTGTCATCCCATGCATGTATACCAGAGAGCAAATCCCATTAAACCCAGTGTATCCACTGTTGATTCTAGTTCACTGTGTGGCAGTAAACATTTGATTTGCTATGGATTATCTTTATTTTCTCTGTCATAAAGTATACAAAAAATTCAATGCTTGCTCAATGCATTTTTTATTTTATTTTTTTGTGTCAAGAGCGACCTGAGAAACTTCAAGTCGCTTCCGGTGTGAAAGGATTGGTCATCCTGGATGTTACCCAGGGGACGCCTGGATGTTTTGATGTTTTACTATCCTTGTGGAGGCTTCTCTCATGTCCCCGCATGGGGAGGTGGAACTGACAAAGGGAGCACATTCATGCTCTCCTCAGATTCGAACCTCTGACCTGTTGGTCTTCAATCCTGTTGGCTCCTATTTTACTTTATATATATATGTGTTTGTGTTACTTTATTATTCTTATATAAACTGCAAACTCTCAAAGTATCAACTTGTACCTTGAGATGGGATGCTAGTGCCTTCCATTTAAAACACTGACCATTGTATCTCTACAAAAATACTAGTTGGAAAATGATATCAAAGTTTTCTCTTTATTATTGATTTCATATTTTTTTTCATTTTAGGTAAAATTCTGGAAATGGGACATATATAGTAGTCGAAAAAACAAGTGTTGTTAAGAAATTAAATATTCCATATATGAGATTACCTTTGCTGAACTATCTTCTTATTTCATTTTTTGTCCTTTTTTTTCTTTATTGGATAAGAAAAGATACACATTTAAATAAAAACATACAAGAGCAAGATGTATGAGCGGATATAAAAAGTCTAAGAGCTTTTATGCTCTGTGTAATAAAATTAAAGGAATATATGAGGCAGGAGGGAACAACAAATCCCACCTCTGCCATCAAAGCAAGGGATGAAAAGGTATTATAAATGACCGATGTTATTGGTAGTATTAGCCGCCACCACCTCAGCTTTATTGGTCTGAGGAACCAAAGGTGTGAATGTGTTGTAGGTAAGGTGTGTTTGCCCTGGGTATCTTCTATTACTCCTTAACTGGCTGACTGGACTTTAAAAGTGCTTGACAGACTGAGGCTTACACCAGCTAAAAGTGAACTAGAGAAAGTTTATTGAGCTTTAAACAAACATCTACTCATAGAATGAGCGGTACAGAAGCATAATTCAGATGTAGAGACTTAGTTGGATTAAACAGTTAGATCTACTGACAAATAAAGCTTTTATTAACTGTGAGTTTCCTTAAACACACTGTTCTATTCTTAGAAACAGTATCTCAAAGACCCGTCGCAAACTAGGTTCCTGCGGGAGAAAACCTTGCCAGCACGTCCCTGACGTCATGAGACTCCGCCTCTCTCCCCGCCCCTTTCTCTGCCCCTTTCTCCATGCGAGCGTGGTTTTTCCTTTGCTAGGGCAGCATTGCCCGCATTTTCTCTCAGTTGGCAGAATTCAACTGAGAGAAAATGTGGGCAATGCTGCCCTAGCAAAGGAAAAACCACGCTGGCAAAGAGAAAGGGGCGGAGAAAGGGGCGGGGCGAGAGGCGCAGGCTCATGACGTCAGGGATGTGCTAGCAAGGTTTGCTCCCGCAGGAACAGACTTTGCGACGGCTCTTAGAGAACAGACTCCTGTCTGTCTCACACACAGGGCAATAAGATCTCTCTTAAACTTCTCTTAAGTCTAAGCAGACAAAACTCTCTTTTACTGGTCCTCTCAACACAGTAAAAACCCTAGCCTTTGTCTCAATCTTATTCCCTAACCTTAAGGCTCACTTTCTAGCTTTCTTTCCTGTCAGAACCCTATTTTAGCTTCCTCTCTTAAAATCCTATCCCTCTGTGTCTGATGTCAAGGCACTTCTCCCTCTGTCAAGAGCTGACAGCCTTTTTCCCTCTCTCAACCGACTCCTCCCCTAATTGCTCTGACCAATCAGGAGTCGGCTTGACTCCTCCTCCTGCCTCTGCCTGTCTTTCCAGATGAAAGCTACTGATATTCAGGCTTCGGCCTGGTCGCCTAAAAGGTAGATTTCACTACACTCTGCAGTTCTATATAGTTATTTTAATATTAAAATAGTTAAAAGTTTCATTGATTCTTGAGGATCCTTGACAAGTTGGTTCTACTTTTATGTGTATTTCTGAAGGCTGCATTGGAAGCCATTGATGAACTGGACCTTTTTGGAGCTGGAGGAGGACACAAGTCAGTGATTCATGTCCTTCCAGATGAAGTTGAACACTGTCAGGTAAACCTCACATTCCTATAGGGCAGAGGATCTCAACCTATGGGTCCCTAGATGTTTTGGCCTTCCAACTCCCAGAAATCCAAACAGCTGGTAAACTGGCTGGATTTCTGGAAGTTGTAGGTCAAAACATCTGAGGACCCACAGGTTGAGAACCACTGCTCTAGGGAATCTCAAGGAAATTGTAAGACATTACCCACTGTTCTTAAAGCTGAAATTCAGATGTCTCCACCCACATTTGTTGGACTGCAGCTACCATGGCTCCCAGAGTGAAGGGATGGTAGAGGTTGCCCATCAATTTCTGGAAGATACTAGGTTTGAGAAGGCTACTGTGATTACACAGCCTATCTATTTTTATCGTATGTATCAAATTTTGCTTCTACTCCATCTGATCGACTAGAGCAGATTCAAGCAGATGCTATATTTGTCTATGGAATACAAAGATCAGTGCATATCAGTGCTTCATATCTAACAATGGGAAATTCCTGGCAGGGCTCATAGTTGCTAGATAATTTTGTGATAATAGACTCCATGGAGTAGACAACGCACAATCTGGGTCACCCTGTTGTGATCTGGTCATTGACCGTAATAAAGTTTACGTACTTACATGATAGTAGATTATTTTAATGGATCCAGTAGATATCTGTGAATAGCAAATGCATTATCCTTTTCATGTAAATTAATTATAGATACATCTGATGAAATATCTTGGAATGAAAGTCATCTTTATTTTATCTTTGTTCTGTCCTGTTTCTCATTTATGCTCATATATTTCATTTTCAGTCTATTTTATACTCCATGTTACCAAGGGCCTCTACGTCAAAAGAGATTGATGCTGGACTCTTGTCCATTATCTCTTATCCAGCCTTTGCTGTAGAGGATATGGCTCTCGTAAATGCAACCAAAAATGAAATTATCACCAAATTACAAGTAAGGATTTAATTTTGGATTGTCAAAATGTCTTGAGTTAATTTATCTGTATCTAATAAGTTGGGCTTCATTGGTTAATAGAGAAGGATGTTTGTGTAATTAAGAGGAAACAATTATATAAAATTATTCTTGTTCACCTTTACAGGGACGATATGGCTGCTGTCGCTTTATTCGAGATGGCTACAAAACACCAAGAGAGGTCTGAAATTATCACAATCTTACAATTTTTGAATGTAGTTCTTTCATTTTATCTACAATTTCCCCACAGTTGACTGTAATAAACTGGTTTGCATTCAACGCAAGGCATTAATATGTTGCATCAGAGAAACATTTTGTTTCTGAAATTTATTGAACTAAAAACAGAATGACATCAGGAGACCAGATCTGAAGTCACAGTGAAATGATACAACAGAACATAAAAGCAAAACCAAAACGAAATGATACAAAATAAAACAAAAGAAAACAACAACTCGCTTGTGGCTAGTGCTGGCTTGTCTTTTCTTCACAAAGCATCCACAATATTTCAGGGCCCTTTCACACAGCCATTTAACCCAAGGCAGAAAATTTCACAATATCTGCTTTGAACTGGGTTATCTGAGTCCACACTCCCATATATTCCAGTTCAAAGCAGAAAATGTGGGATTCAGCTGTGTGGAAGGGGCCTTAGTTTTTAGTAATGTTCAGAAAACTGTTGCCACAAATGAATAGACCTTCTCTCTTTTACCACCCTTACTATGCACTGCTGATTCGAATTGGACACTCCTATAACTGCTTTTAAAACTGACCATATTAATTACAAATGAATTAATATCATATCCAAGTGTCCTAAGTGCATGTTTTTTTTAGATTTATTTCAGATTGTGAACTAATGTATTTATTTTTTTATTTACAGTATTTATATTCCACCCTTCTCATCCCGCAGGGGACTCAGGGCAGATTACAATGCACATTCAATGCCATTTAGACATACAACACATATAGACAGACACAGAGGAAATTTAACATTCCAGCTTTTCTGGCTTCATGAGGGTATGCTTGATTCCAACCACAGGAGGAGCTGCCACTTCACCATCTACTTGTGACAAGGAGTCCTTTGATGAAGTACTTTCTCATTCTTTTGCACACTATTGGGAGGTTTTATGGTGTCGTAAATTAGATAAATTAGCCTCCCCACATAAAGCGGTAACTAAATTTCCTACTTGACAGATGCAGTTGTCTTTCAGGCTGCATAGGTCAACAGCAAGCTGGACTATTAATGGCTGGGAATTCACTCTACTCGGGCTGGTTCGAATTTGTGACCTCTCGGTCAGTAGTGATTTAATGCAACTGGCTCCTAACTAGCTGCGCCACAGCCCGGTAATCATTTAAATTCTTGGTGCTGAACATGTCAAAACTGTGGCTTATGGTATATCTTCTAGGCTATATAGTTTTAGTTTTAATTGTTATGTTATTGTCTGAATCTGACATTTAATTATTGCCATATTTTGTAAGCTGCCCTGAGTTCCCCTCCGGGGGTGAGAAGGGTGGGGTATAAGTACAGTAAATAAATAAAATGTTTTAATATTTGTTAGGATATTTTAACAGGGCAATATGGTGGAATAGTAATAATATTCTGCATAATACAATACTTTGTGTGCTATGTGAAAAAGCAATAATAAAACATGCAATAAACACTTGTATTTCTAGGATCCAAACAGATTGCATTATGATCCTGCTGAGCTCAAATTGTTTGAGAATATAGAATGTGAGTGGCCTGTATTCTGGACCTATTTCTTAATTGATGGTGTGTTCAATGGAGATAGAATTCAGGTAAGGGAAATGATATAAATAAGGCTGAAATATAAGGGGAATAATGTAAATAAGACTGTTATGAATTTATGACTGTTAATCACAAATCAAGTTAATTGTAGCAAGTGGTGGATAATTTCTGCACCCATTGAGTTGAGGAATTCCTTACATCTCTACTTAATGGCATCATCATTCATACATACCTTCTTATTCCATATATTCAATTGAAGTTTGTTCTCAGAAAACTGTACATGGTATTGTGTCTTAAAAGAATCTGTGTATTGAAGTTTGGGACAAAAATGCTGTTCAAGACTTTGGCGAGTTGCTGCTATTTAACATAGTTAAGAATTTGACTAAGTTGGTTTGTCGTCTCATGCAGTTAGAACTTTGAAAAGTTAGAAAAATTTCCTTTTCAGACTACAGTGACTATTCAAACTTTTAAAAGTTCTGTCCTTTGTCTAATGCATTTTCATGTGTTTTCTTACAGTCAGGTTGTACTGTAACACCAAGCTTAGCATCACCGGTGCAGTAAGGACATAATCAAACTAGATTGCTTTGACTTATTTGTGTTTAAAAGCTCTGACAACAGTTACAAATTGTGGAGCTGGCTCTCAACTTTCATAACCAAGAACTGGTCTTAAAGCTGGAATGAAGATATTACTCTATTGCAACTTCAATGAGCTGTAGCAAACACAGTCAAGAGAGAGGGATGTTGCTGAGGGAAATGGCTCAATATCATACTGAACGGTTGTCAGCGGGACTTGAGACTGGGCAGATTGTGTGAAGGAGGAGACACAATTCAAATGCTCTTGTTTGTTAAAAAAACCCAAAACAGATCCATGTAACCAACAGCAAGAATCTGCTACATATGAGGTAAAAGGATTTAACTTAGGGCCCTTCCACACAGCACTATATCCAGAATATCAAGACAGAAAATCCCACATTATCTGAGTGTGAACTCAGATATCCCAATTCAAAGGAGATAATGTGGGATTTTCTGCCTTGATATTCTGGAATATAGGGCTGTGTGGAAGAGCCCTTAGGTCCCTTCAACACAGCTGAATAAAATCCAACATTTTCTGCCTTAACTGGAATATATAGCAGTGTGGACTCAGGGCCCTTCCATACAGCCCTAAATCCGAGAATATCAACCAGAAAATCCCACATTGTCTGCTTTGAACTGGGTTATCTGAGTCCAGAGCTCAGATAATGTGGGATTTTCTGCCTTGATATTCTAGGTTATATGGCTGTGTGGATGGGCCCTTAACTGCCTGACTGCTGTGATAGGTTTTTTTTAATAAACTTACAGTGAGCTGTTTATATAGGGAAGCATTCAAATGTTCCTCCCATTTGTACTTTTGAACAATGCAGTTCTTCCTGCTATCTCTCTTTGCTGAAAAATCATGCTTCAAAGTTACTAGTAGTTCATTGTAGTTATTTAATTCACTATGTATTTATGTACCATCATGGAGCTTTATTATGCCTTGTTTAACAAAGGAGGAGATTGTTAAGATTCAGCTCTTGTTTAAACAGTCATATTTACACCTTTAATAGATCATTTTCTCCCGTTTCAAACACAAACATTGATTTTAAGCCCTTGTTTTCCATCCTTCAGGTGCAAGAGTACAGAGAGGCCTTGGAGGGGATACTCATTCGAAAAAAGAATGGGATTCTTCTCATGCCAGAACTGTATGCTGTTCCTCCAGATAAGGTAAAGTAAAACACCCCTGAAGTTTCTTCCATAATGTGTCTTTGGCTAAATATATTGCAAAAGTATCCCCCCCCTTTTTTTTTGATAGCGTATGATGGTGCAACAGGTTAAAGCACTGGGCTGCTGAACTTGCTGACCGAAAGGTTGATGGTTTGAATTCGGGGAGCGGGGTAAGTTCCCGCTGTTAGCCTTAGCTTCTGCCAACCTAGCAGTTCGAAAACATGCAAATGTGAGTAGATAAGTAAGTAACACTTCAGTGGGAAGGTAATGGTGCTCCAGTGGTGCCGGCCACATGACCTAGGAGGTGTCAATGGACGACACCGGCTCTTTGGCTTAGAAATGGAGATGAGCACCACCTCCCAGAGTCAGACACAACTAGACTTAATGTCAAGGGGAAACTCTTACCTTTACCTATGATTGTTAGATAGTATTGGTTTTGGGTTTTGACTTTTCAGAAATGAAATAGCTTGATATTTTTGTTGGACTGTTTGAACAAACAATTGAAGCTGGAAATTATTTAACAAATAATTCATTGACTGCCGCACTCACTTCTGTTGTTGGAAATATTTTCACATGTCTTGGTCGTCTGATTTGTCGAAGGAAATTTGAGAAGTAACATAGTTATGAGTGAATGTATTTCCCCATGAAAGTGAACTGTGTGGATAAACAAAGCGAATGCACCCTCTCCCCATTCTCTCTTGTTTCAGTCAGGGTTTGTTTCAGTAAGTATTTCCATACCAGAAATGACTCTAGCTGGGAAAAATTGCTTTTAGTAGTGATTTTACAAACTTAATTTTATAATTTAACTAATTATTAGTTCACACAGAGTAAACCAATTAAATCAAGGTGAATGTACCTAGGTTGTTGACTTACTGATCTGCAGCTGATTCTATTAGTCTACTTTAGTTGAGACTAGATCATAGAATCATAGAATCAAAGAGTTGGAAGAGACCTCATGGACCATCCAGTCCAACCCCCTGCCAAGAAGCAGGAATATAGCATTCAAATCACCCGTGACAGATGGCCATCCAGCCTCTGTTTAAAAGCTTCCAAAGAAGGAGCCTCCACCATACTCTGGGGCAGAGAGATGTTGGATTTCTATGACTGAGCATGGATTTGAACCCTGGTCTCTCAGAGTCCTAGTCTAACACTCAACTTAATATACTATAATGGTTCTCACATAGTGTAGTGGAGATGGATTTTGAAGCCAGGTCTTATATATTTTTTCTCACCTAGGTAAATGAAGAGTATGAAAATCCTCACACAGTGGATCGTGTCCCAGCTGGAAAACTTCCTCACCTCTGGGGCCAGTCGTTATACATTCTGAGTGCCCTCTTAGCAGAGGTAATTCTAGCCTTTATATGATTGCTGACCATCTTTTAACCAGGCATGGGCAAACTTTGGCCTTCTGGGGGTATTTAGGACTTCAATTCCCACAATTCCTAACAGCTGGTAATACACAAACATGTGGACAATTTCAACAGAAAGGAAGAAACCATAAAAATGAACAAGATCTGGCTACCAGTATTAAAAAATTCTAAAATTGCAACAGCAAAAACAGCAGAGAGGAAACAGGCAGGGACATCTAATTACCTTTCAAGAAGAGTTTGCTCCAGGCACAGTCAGCCCATTGTATGCTAATCAAGGTGGTCAGTTGAAATATTCACACCTAGCCCAACTGACAAAAGTCCTTTGTCTCACCCTGGTCATTCCACAGATATATAAACCCTTCTTTCCCAGTTCCAACAGACCTCACCTCTGAGGATGTTTGCCATAGATGCAGGCGAAACGTCAGGAGAAATGCCTCTAGAACATGGCCATATAGCCCGAAAAAACCCAGAAGAACTTAGCTGGTAATCTGTCTGGGATTTCTGGGAGTTGAAGTCCAAAGCACCTAGAGGGCAAAGTTTGCCCATGCCTGTTTTAATCAGTGTATTTGCCATTGTCCTAACTTTCAATTATATTGAAGATTAAAGTAATTTATGGAAAGGACCTTCTTCATCCATATAGCAGTCAAATTTCCCACTATGTGCTACAGTTGGCCCTCCATACTCATGGGTTCTTGGTCTATCAATTCAACCAACAATGTCTCAAAAATATTTAGAAAACAAACCCCAAAAAGTAAGCCTTGATATTGTTGCATGTCGAGCACTACTCTAATGTTTAGGCATATCCTGCTTCAGTCTCCTGCCATTTCAGAGATCCTCAGGCTCTTTCCATTTGAGTAGTTCACTATTTTATATATATTGCATGATTTACTGCAACATCATATACAGTGGAACTTGGCAGAACTTGAAACCAGATTCCAGTGGATACCAAAGTCCCACGGTACTCAACAGGGTGCAAGATTGTAGGCCATGAATTCTGTCCTGATTTTTCTTTGTCTTTTCTTCCTTCTTACATCACAGGGGTTTCTGGCCACTGGTGAAATTGATCCCTTAAATAGAAGGTTTTCAACTGCTTTTAAACCTGATGTAGTTGTTCAAGGTAGGTAGCGACTGTTATGTACTCTGTGCCTCCCTTAAGTGAAAGAGTATCATTGGAATTGGAACAGAACTGGTCAAAAAGACTTGGGCCCCTTCTACACTGCCATATAGGATCCAGATTATCTGTTTTGAACTGGATTATATGGCAGTGTAAATTCATATAATCCAGTTCAAATCAAATAATGTGGATTATCTGATTTGATAATCTGGATTATATGGTAAAATACAAGGGGCCTTTGTCAGTCTTAAATCAGTGACTTGTTCACATCTGTGTAATTGACTGACACTGCTATTTAGAAAAATGCCAGTTGTAAATTTTGCTGAATCCAACTCTAATACATCTGCAAGTCATTCCATATCCACAAGGCCTGCTTATTCACAGGTGTCAGTGTCAGAGTCTTTCTACTTGCTCAGTGTTGAAACATTAGGGAGGAAAAGCATCTGCAAGATTTTTGAATGACATGCAGGCATTGACACTGGACCTACTGAGATGAAGCAAAGAGAAAGTAAAACAGTCGCTGCAGTTGGTGACAAGGGCACCCAGTCCTAACTGGTATTAGCTGCAGAGTATGTGTGGTAAGATATATTTGGAAAGAAAAATACCAGAAGGGTAGCTTTACAAAAGCCCCTTATATCTCAGGATCTGATTCCAAATATCTGCTTATCCAGGACTATATGGCAGTGGAGAATCATATAATCCAGTTCAAAACAGATAATCTGGGATCAGATCCTGGGATATAAGAACAGTGTAGAAGGTGTCTTTGTCCCCTTCTTAATTGCCATATAATCCACATTATCAAAGCAGATAACTCACATTATTTGCTTTGAACTGGATTATATAAGTCAACACTGCCACATAATCCAGATCAAAGCAGATAATTTGGATTTATATGGCAGTGTAAAAGGGGTCTAACTCTCAACTGCTGTGTATAATTTAGGGTGTTACATCATATGACTACTCTGTGTTTCCTAGCCATACATCTTTTTTAGTCCTTTTCATTGCAAAATGTTCAAGAATGTTAATGTTATATATAATTTGCTGGTCTTACGCAGTTATGTGTCTAATCAGAAGTTGAATATGAAGGTGATTATGTGTACTAAATGTGTGTTTATTCCCAGTAAGAAATTCTATTCAAAGTAATAATTGCTCTTTTTTTGTTTTGTTTTTATACAGTACATGTTTTAGCTGAGACCAATGAAATTAAGAAACTTCTGAAACGTCATGGAATCCATGTCCAGAGCATTGCTGACATTAATCCTATCAGAGTTCAGCCAGCACGGATCCTGAGTAACCTTTATGCCAAGCTTGGTAGGAGCGGCAACAACTTCCTTGCTTCTCCAGCATTTCTTTTCATCTTACTCTTTTGTTTGTATTATTAAGTTTCAAGTCATAGAATCATAGAATCAAAGAGTTGGAAGAGACCTCATGGGCCATCCAGTCCAACCCCCTGCCAAGAAGCAGGAATATTGCATGCAAATCACCCCTGACAGATGGCCATCCAGCCTCTGTTTAAAAGCTTCCAAAGAAGGAGCCTCCACCACACTCCGGGGCAGAGAGTTCCACTGCTGAACGGCTCTCACAGTCAGGAAGTTCTTCCTCATGTTCAGATGGAATCTCCTCTCTTGTAGTTTGAAGCCATTGTTCCGTGTCTTAGTCTCCAAGGAAGCAGAAAACAAGCTTGCTCCCTCCTCCCTGTGGCTTCCTCTCACATATTTATACATGGCTATCATATCTCCTCTCAGCCTTCTCTTCTTCAGGCTAAACATGCCCAGTTCCCTAAGCCGCTCCTCATAGGGCTTGTTCTCCAGACCCTTGATCATTTTAGTCGCCCTCCTCTGGACACATTCCAGCTTGTCCATATCTCTCTTGAATTGTGGTGCCCAGAATTGGACACAATATTCCAGGTGTGGTCTAACCAAAGCAGAATAGAGGGGTAGCATTACTTTCCTAGATCTAGACACTATGCTCCTATTGATGCAGGCCAAAATCCCATTGGCTTTTTTTGCCGCACATCACATTGTTGGCTCATGTTTAACTTGTTGTCCACGAGGACTCCAAGATCTTTTTCACACGTACTGCTCTCGAGCCAGGCATCCCCATTCTGTATCTTTGCATTTCATTTTTTCTGCCAAAGTGGAGTATCTTGCATTTGTCACTGTTGAACTTCATTTTGTTAGTTTTGGCCCATCTCTCTAATCTGTCAAGATCGTTTTGAATTCTGCTCCTGTCCTCTGGACTATTGGCTATCCCTCCCAATTTGGTGTCGTCTGCAAACTTGATGATCATGCCTTCTAGCCCTTCATCTAAGTCATTCATAAAGATGTTGAACAGGACCGGGCCCAGGACGGAACCCTGCGGCACTCCACTTGTCACTTCTTTCCAAGATGAAGAGGAAGCATTAGTGAGCACTCTCTGTGTTCGTCCACTTAACCAATTACAGATCCACCTCACCGTAGTTTTGCCTAGCCCACATTGGACTAGTTTCCTTGCCATAAGGTCATGGGGGACCTTGTCGAAGGCCTTACTGAAATCCAGGTACGCTACATCCACGGCATTCAAGCTTGTGAATTGTGAAAATGAAATAATATGTTGATGGTAGTCCTGGAAAAGAGCTTGGTTTTTTTGGCTCACGGTTATCTTCCCAAAAATAACCTTTCTAATACAAATTGAATTGCATGTTCCTTCCATTGCCTGTGGTGAGAAATGGTTCACTTTTGCACCATGTTGGAAACACATAGTTATTGGCTTCATTGTCTTTAATGCTTTATACATGTGAAGGGTTTGTCCTCCTAGCACCAGCTTCTTTATTCTCTGCACATTGAGCAAAAACCTCAAAGGGAAATTGGCATTTACTTGCTTGAAGAAACTTTGGGTTTTAATGTCCTCTCTTTTTTTTAGTACCAGCATAAGTCACTTTAAAAGAAAATAACAAAGGAAAGACAGTTGAGGGGTGTTATTGTTATTATGCTTCTAATTTACGACAATCCTAAAACGGCAATCCTAAAATGGTCCTATTATGGGGTTTTCTTTGCAATATTTATTCAAAGAAGATGTGTTATTGCATACCACTAAACCTGAAAGGGTACAGCTGTTTTCATTACTGAGCATAGATTTGAACCCTGGTCTCCTGCAGTTCTGATAAAACAGACCACTATTCCATGCTGGCTCTACGCATCAGATATGCTAGCTAAATAGTAGACTTGTTCACTGATTTGTTTTGGCCATTTTCCTTCGGCTTCTTTGGACGCCCATAATGGCAAGGGCTCCACAGCCATCGTTTTTTAAACAGAGCCGGACAACATGGCTGCTCCTTCTACTCTGTTCAAGAGCACGTGGCACACGAAAGGCTGCCATGTGCTCGCATGGGGTTTCCCTGTGAGCCCTGCCTGTTGGACCTATCGGAATAGAAGAAAGACATGATGTGCCTTACACAATCTGTGTCTACTTAAAGGGGCAAGCACCTCCTCCGTTGCTCAGTTATGTCCTGGCTCTAGAGAGAGGTGCTTTAATCTGATTGCCTTGCTGCTTGCTCTGAGCTTTAGCTTTTGGTTTGGCTTGGCCTCTCTCTAGTATTGAATCTTTTTGATTTTCCTTTGTTTTCTTGAGTTTTTATTTAGTGAGACTGGGAGTTGGAAAGTGCGGGTGGTTTGGGGACTTGTGAATGGGTGTGCTTTTCTTTTAAGATGGCTCTGAGCTTTGAGTCACCCTTTAGCCTTTACTAAAGCCTTTGGCATCTTCTCTTATCTCTCCTCCCTCCTTTCTTTCAGAAAGTACTTTTAAAGATTATAGTTATTATTAATTATAGAAATTCCAGCAAACAGCAAAGCCTCATTTTCAGAAAAACTACCTATCTATCTAAACTTACCACCAATACCTAATAATTTCTGTATCATACAGGAGTGTTTTTCTAATAAGGGGACCTGCTGCTTGCTTGCTTGCTTGCAGATGGTGAGCTGCTGGCCTCCTCCAGTATGTTGTGGTAAAAAGAAATTCAAATGTTTTGGAAGAAGTTGCTGTTGTTTTTTTTTTATTAGTAAAGAAAGTGTAATAGTGGGCTGTATAATGTGCAAGTGCATCATTTGGCAGGAAGAAATGGTGCCGTGCTGCTACTCCTGGAGAAGTTGCAGGGCGGAGTCAGCAGGGGATACCTTTTTGGAATTTTTTTAAAGGAGATTTAATTTCTAGAAAGAAAATAAATTCCTAAAAATCAGGGGATGACCCAAACATTATGAAACTTGGTGGGCCAGCAGATCTAAAAGTGATGTTGGAGCTGCTGCTGATACATCTTATATATTTGTTTATTACAATTAGCTAGAGGAAGGAGACTGTAACAGGAAAACAGAGAAATTTGTAGCCAAAAGAAATGTGTTGGAAGTATATTGAAAACAATCTAAATATTGACTGTTACTTTGTTCCCTTAGGACGCAACAAAAGTCTGAAACTGAGTGGAAGACCCTATAGACATATTGGTGTCTTGGGAACATCCAAACTATATGTAATAAGAAATCAAACATATACATTTACTCCTCAGGTGAGTGTAGAAAGCTTCTCCTATATCATTTCTTGATCTCAATGTTGATTGAGATGATTAAAAAATGTGCATTTTGCTTTTTATTGTACACAGAACTAGCTAGTTACAGGGGGAGGTCAAACCCCCCCCCCCCCCTCTGCTCAATCAGCTCCATTGGCTGCCAATAATTTTCCAGTCTCAATACAAAGTTCAGGTGATCACCTACAAAGCCCTAAACAGTTCGAGACCTGCCTATCTTTGCGATTGCATCTTCCCCTACGAACCAGCACGTACTCTAAGATCCTCTGGGGAGGCTCTTCTCTCACTCCCACAGCCATCTCAAGTCCGGTTGGTGGGGATGAGTTAGAGAGCCTTCTCTGTGGTGGCCCCTCTCCTCTGGAACTCTTTTCCTGGGGAGATCGGACAGGCCCCTACTCTCTCCATTTTCTGCAAGGAATTAAAAACTTGGTTGTTCTGTTGTGCCTTTGACTAGATTGTTCACTTGAGAATCATCCTGGCCTTATTTAAGGTCTGGCACTTTAGTTGCCCGCTTTCCTGTACTTATGACACTTTAATGGCCAAGGGCACTACCCTGGCAACCCAGCCCTCTGACTATTGCATTTTCCCTCAGCACTCTCAAGGAATCATTTCACTTACTCTGAGCCCGAATCCAGTTTCAAATTGGCCAGATTGGGTATTGTTTTTATGATGTTTAATGTATTTTAATGTTTTTATTATTTGTTGTTATTGATTGTTTTTGCTGTGTCTTTATTTGTAATTCATGGAGTTGTACCTCTGTAAGCCACCCTGAGTCCCTTCAGGGAAATGCAGGTGGGGTATAAAAAAAGTTATTATTTATTATACATATTATACATAAGAATACTGATTCTTATGCTATCTTATGATATGTCCAAAGTACAGTATCTTCCTTTAGCAGTTTTGGCATCTAGCTTAAGCTTGCTTTAAGGCTCATTTAGATGTCATTCTAGTAAGTCCATAGTATTCATAAACTTTTCTTCCAGCACTACATGTCAAATGTACTGATTTTTCACCTCTCTAAACTTTCTTCACTGTTCACTTTTCACATCCATACATAGAAATTGGACATGGAAGATCCCTATTCTGGTATTCAGTGATATACCTTTACACTAGATCCCTCATCACTTCCTTTCCAACTCTTATCTCCTTTTTGTTAATTATAATCTCCATTCTTACTCATGATGGGACCATGAATGTTTTTTAACAGTCTTAGGGGTGTTATCGCTAACTTTAAAGTTAGTAAATATCCCATGATCATTATTTTGTTTAATATTTAGCTGTGACTCCAATTTTATACTTTCTTTAACTTTCATCAGCATCATTTGTTCTGTGTACAACAAAAAGTACAACAAAGAAGCAAAAACTTTAAGGCTTTGCTATTTTATACAGCTAATAGAAAAAGGCTTTGAGACTGTGAAAATTTGCAAAACATAGTCCAGACTTCGACCACCCCTGAATTAGGTTATATGTTTAAGCTCATTATGTCTGAGTTTTTGTCGAGAAAGGCATTTTGTAATGTCTACCTTCTGACTTCCAGTTCACAGATCAGCATCACTTCTACCTGGCATTAGACAATCGTATGATTGTGGAGATGCTGCGAACTGAATTGGCTTATCTCACTTCTTGCTGGAGGATGACTGGAAGACCAACCCTCAGTTTCCCAATCACTAACACAATGCTTGGTCAGTAACATCTTGCCTTCTTCTACCACAGAATTGGCCTCCCTTCTATGAATTCATGTGATTGACAAGAACTGCTTTTCCTCTTTTTTATGCTATATGCCTTGCTGGATTTAGAAATGAGAGGACAGAGGAACAAGTTACTATTTTTGCACAGGCTTTTGATAACTTTTTGAAATGTATTTTACTTGACCACAGCTGAGAGTTCCTTCATCTTTCTGTTCTCCCACACAGGGACACTACAGCCAAATCATTTGTGTATCCACAGATTAATTTTCTGGTCCTTTAATGAACTAGTGCTACAAAGTAAAGATAGCTCTAAAATTGAAATAATAAGGCATATCGATACAAAGTAGAACACCCGAGTCAAAATGCTATGTGATTGGGCTATTAAAATTATTTTTCCATCTTTATCTTACTTAGGATGGAAAATCCATTTTCATAAATAAAATTAGGGGTTTATAGTCCATGTATTTGTTATTGTATCATATGAAAACAACTGGATGAATTTCAACCCAATTCGGAAGATAGGGTTGGTCTGACTTATATTAGCTTAGGTGGCTTACATCTAATCCATTTTGGAGGGTTTCTGACAGAATATCCCATAAAGTTATTCAAAAGCAGCTGGGGCATATGGGAAATTCTAATTTACATACAGGGTTTGTGGCATATGCAGAATCCAGTTTTGGTGAGTCCTTGGTGAGACACCCCACTAATTTCGTCCAAGACAACTAAATGGACTAATACCAAATTTGTAGAGTATGTTTGGGATGAAATGACTTAGAAGGCACTTCCTTTAGAAAAGTGTCTGTTGGAGTTTCCAAGAAATTAAAACAGGTAAAACATGTCAAATATTTTAGTCAACAATATATTTTAAGCCTTTCTGATTGGTTTGGGTTGAATGTACATTTTTCATATTTTCTCACCCACAGTGTTGTAGGAGAGATCTTAAATTGTTTTAAAAACCTTTTGTTAAAATGCATTTTTATTTCCTTTTTAAAAAGTTGATGACGGCTCTGATATTGATCCAGCAATTCTTGCTACTGTGAGAAAACTTGGGGATGGATACTTTGGAGGAGCCAGGTTAGCATTATTACCTGCTGGGCTTTTTAAAAACAGGGATTTGTTTTTAACTGGAAATGATGGTTATTATAATTACAGGTTGATTATTCCCCCTGAAGACACAGGTCCGCAGTCTGGGGGTGATCCTGGACTCATCACTGACCCTGGAACCCCGGGTGTCAGCGGTGGCCAGGAACGCCTTCGCACAGTTAAAACTTGTGTGCCAACTGCGCCCATACCTTGAGATGCTTGACTTGGCCATAGTTGTCCATGCCTTAGTCACATCCTGCTTGGACTACTGCAAGGCTCTCTACATGGGCCTGCCTTTGAAGATAGTCCAGAAGCTTCAAATTGTCCCAAGATCGGCAGCCAGATTATTAAATGGAGCGCCATTCAGGGAGAGAACCACTCCCATGTTGCGGCAGCTCCACTGGCTGCAAGTCTGCTTCCGAGCTAAATACAAAGTGCTAGTTCTTACCTTTAAAGCCCTAAATGGTGCGGGTCCAGACTGTTTGACAAACCCCATCTTCCACTATAGACCAACTTGGACACTGTGGTCATGGGAGGAGGCCCTCCTCTCAGTTCCTCCCCCATCCCAAGAGAGGCTGGTGAGAATGAGAGAAAGGGCCTTCTCTGTGGCTGCCCCCCCCCCCCCGGAACTCCCTTCCTAAGGAATTATAGATGGCCCTCTCCCTCCCCGCTTTCAAGAAACAACTGGAGATGAACCTCTGCTCACTGGCTTACGAGGAGGAGGAATAGTAATTGGCAATACTACAATTATACCTCTGATTAATAGTTACCATCCATGTCCATGACCTGCTCACCCCACCAACTCGATATACATCTTTAGCATGATCAATTTATTTGCCCCCAAAAACTGGGAAATTGTGGTTTCTATTTGATGTCTGATGTTTTGTCTTATGTCTGTTATAATAGGCTGTTTCTTATTTAATTTTAGTTATTAAGTCATAACTCATGTTTATTTGTTGGATTGTTTAAATTTTGTTAATATGGATGTATTGCTGTTGTATTCAGGCATTGAATGTTTGCCTTTTATGTTTGGAAACAAAAAAAAAGCAAAGGTGTCACTATCTCAACCACTCAGGAGGATTATTTTGGATTTAAGATTAAGAATTAAAAATAAAATAATCACCCCTCCCACTATTCTCCTTCCATGTTCTCTTCAGAGTGAAACTGGGCAAACTCTCAGACTTTCTGACTACTTCGTTCTACACCAACTTGAGCTTTCTAGATCCTGATTGTGATGGGAAACTATTTGATGACGATAGTGAGGGTTATTCTAGCCCGGAAAGTGGCTACGAACTAGATTATGCAGACTTTTGTGACAAAGGTATGTGTGTGTCTTTGTTAGTGAAGTGTTTCAATTGACATACTTGATTGCCTGAGTAAATACATTTCAAAACCTCAGCAGAATAACATACCTTGAGTTACATGGTGACATAATTATAATGTCTCATTTTTTGGAGAGCCCCATGCTATTCTTGAAATGTCACTTAGGAGTCTGAGTGCCTTAATGAGGAGGTATTACCGAAGTTTAAATTGAAAAATGGAATCCTTGGGAAAGTGAAGTGAGTGTGCTACTTTTGAATCACTCACACCAAATATACCTTCAACTTTCCTGCATGAAATTTAACTCTAGATGTCAGTAGATGGAAAAGTTGCTTTTTGGACTGCAGGTGCCAACATTTTCCTGCCTGCATTGTGATACTCTGTAAGGGTGCATCTACATTGTAGAATCAGTGCAGTGTGACACCACTTTAACTGTCTATGGAATCATGGGAGTTATAGTTTTACAAGGTCTTTAGCCTTCTCTGTCAAATAGGGCTGGTATCTAACCAAACTATAAATCCCAGGATTCCATAGCATTGAACCATGACAGTTAAAGTAGTACTCAACTGCATTATTTTTGGTACAGTTAGAGAACAGTAACACATACCAATATATTGCATTATTTTGTCAGCTGTTCAGAGACACACAATAACTAATTTTAGATTTGTGTTTATGCGTGTCAGGAGTGACTTGAGAAACTGCAAGTGGCTTCTGATGTAAGATAATTGGCTGTCTGCAAGGATGTTGCCCAGAGGGGCCCCAGATGTTTTGATGTGGGAGGCTTCTCTCATGTCCCCACATGGGAAGCTGGAACTGACAGACAGGAGCTCACTCTGCTTCCCAGAATTGAACCTTCTTTTGGCAGCAGTTCAGCCAGCACTAGGATTTAACCCATTGCACCACAGAGACTCCAATTTTAGAATATGTGTGTGTTACTGTGTGAACATTAATTCAGTAATTTGGATTACTATACGGTGGCAAACTTCTTTTGGATTGCCATAGGTCAGAAACAATGTAGTGTTGTGTTTACCTGCCCAGGTTTTTTAAATGATATGGCTTTCATATTGCTAAAGTCATATGATATAATACTCTTACATGGTCTGATCAAATCATCCTTATCATTGTCTATACTTAGTGATCTGATGAGTATTGCCATCTAACAACAGCTAGAAGGCCACAGTTTCAGGTTTCTTGTAAAATTACCCTTTATCCTTCACAGAGAACCTCGCAACTATTAGTTATCATTTTACATTTTACTGTGATCTTCTAATACTGAAAGGTAACAGGGACTGGTAGAAACCACAGGTTTGATCTCTTTCACAAGCCTTTTCCCTTGCCTTCACATGTGCCTTGACAGAAAGCCAAGATGAACTGGACCAGTATATACACAATTTGTTACAGAGCACCGCTCTCAAATGCTACCTGCCTCCTATCACGAAAGCTTCTGGCTCATCCTGCGTGTTTAGTGCTGCTCATTCCACTAGAGAAATTCTGTCCATCATGGCCAAGACAAAGGGACTGGATGTTCCAAGTAAGTTTCTGCCACAGTTTAAACCAGTGGTTCCCAACCTTTTTTTTTTTTTTTTTACCAGGGACCACTTTGACCCAGGACCACTCTCCAACATTAATATCAAAAGGGTTGCAAATCTGTTTTTGGTCAACTTTAGACTCAGTTTGGTTATTTGGGGTGCTGATTCAAAAACTGCTTTGGATAGACCACATCAGCTCTAGTTTTTGATGCAGAAGATATGCCATCTGTAGTTGTCATCTGCTCACCCACAGAAAACTGTATTTAATAAGCCTTGGCACTATAAGAGGGTTTCGTGAGACCAGGCAGTCCCGTTGCAACGGTGTAGTAACGGTGAAGCTGCGGACCGTATTTTACTTCTTGTAGACCACTGGTGGTCCATGGACCACAGGTTAGGAACCATTGTTTAAACTGACATTTTCCCCACAAATGGAACATTTATAAATACTGAACACTATTGTGTCCAAAAATAAGTTATGCCATACTACTTGTAATTGAGAGCCAGGATTTTGTAGTAGTTTCAGCATTAGACTATGACAATGGTTTGTTCCCCTACCTGGCCATGGAAACCTCTGGGGTACTTTAGGTGAGTCACATATTCTCAACCACAGAAAACTTTAATAAGTTCATCTTAGGGTCACCATAAGTGGAAATGAATTGAAGGCCCACAGCAATAACAGCATATTGAAAGTACCAAAGAGTCTGTGTCAGTGTTATTATGGCATCATTCCCACAGTTCCATTTTCCCACATGTACAAGGGTTCTGTGCTCAGAGTTGATAGCATGGAATATATACAAACTAGGCAATTTATGTTTTGGTAAATCCATAGTTGGTAATGAGCATGACATGCCATGGGTAATATCATGCAAAATTTGTCTTTATGTATTTATTTATTATTAGATTTTTTACGGAGTGTAAGCTAGTGACCTGATTTTAAGTGGAAAAAAGGAATGATTTTCTTAATTTCATGTTTCACAGGAATATGGAATTAAGAGCAGACTTGAAAGTGATATGCGATTGTTCCCGCACCTCCTGTTTCCATATTTTAAATCATTCTTGAGGAGAAGTTTAGTGGCATTTGGTTACACAGATTTTAACTGTACCATTTGATTAGATATTCAATATAATGTAATGTTTTGATTTATGGAAGATTTTGTATTCTTACTGTAGTTCTTCTATAGAGAAAGAATGCCCCTTTTTGTCTCCTTTTCAGATGTTTCAATGTCTTTGCCTACAAAGGTTTTAAACACCCATCGGAAATCTCTGAATCTTGTTGACTCTCCACATCCAGTGGTGGGTAAGGTGAGTTGTTATAAAATTTAGATTTGGAAATTTGTAGAAAGTTTTAGTCTTGAAAGGAAAGAAATAACTAAAATGTGTTAAGTTGTATTCAGCAAATATACTGTGTAGATGCAAAAGCCTTGGGTTGACTTTTCCATGGGTCAATATAAGTACTGTATTTTAATTTTTGTTGAATAAGAGTATTAAAAAGGAACAATTACTTTCTCTGAATAGAGCGGCTTAGACTAAACATGAGTTTGGTCTGGTTTGGGAAAATCTTAAAAGAAGCACTGATTCTACCCACTGTGTGCAGCATTATTGCTTTTGGCCTTTTTTAATGTAAGGAAAATCCCTGCCTTTTTGGTGCTTCGAATCCAAAGAGTGCGAAAACAGTAGGTTCGCCAAGGACTAAGCTCTTGCTTTTCACTGTACTACAATTAAGATAAAGTACTAACTCATATCAAAAAGGGGAACACCCCCTTCTCTGAGTAGTGTGGGGAATGTATTGTCAAAGGCTTTCATGGCCACAATCACTGGGTTTCTGAATACCTGGGCAGTAAAATGGTGTCAGCATCCAGGGAAGGATGGCCCTTGTGGTGGCCTCTCCCCTCTCTGCGGAACAATCCTTACCTTATCCATGGGCCACATCAAAATCCATATTTCTGGCCCCCAAGCCTGCCCCTTACTTAAGGTAAAGGGTAAAGGTTTTCCCCTGACATTAAGTCCAGTCGTGTCCGACTCTGGGGGTTGGTCCTCATCTCCATTTCAAAGCCGAAGAGCCGGCGTTGTCTGTAGACACCTCCAAAATCATGTGGCCGGCATGACTATATGGAGCGCCATTACCTTCCCGCCGGAGCGGTAACTATTGATCTACTCACATTTGCATGTTTTCAAACTGCTAAGTTGGCAGAAGCTGGGGCTGACAGTGGAAGCTCATGCCACTCCCCAGATTCGAACCTGTGACCTTTCGGTCAAGAAGCTCAGCAGCTCAGCTCTTTAACCCACTGTGCCACTGAGGGCTCAATTTAAATAAGGGGGCCCCTTATTTATATGAAGTCAAATTATGTAATTATTGCACTTCATTTAACTGTGCAAGGAATAGACTTATTACTGCATTAAAATTGCTGTTGCCAAAATAAGAGCATATGAGGGCTAATATTGGTAAGCAGAGTAAGACAATTACTGTTAATCAATTGGTGGGATTATAGACCAGGAAAAATCATTCCCAAGACATGTTTCTGGTTGCATGGGAACTGAAGGGTTAAAATCACTCAGTGCCTAGAGAGGCCAGACCAAGAATGTCATATCTGGCCGGGCAACTGTGACCAGCTCATATGTCATATCCATGGGTGGCACCAGAGATAATCAGATAATGGTAGTGGTGAAAAAGCAGCGACGATGTGCTTGATTGTTCTCTTCCATCGTGACTGCCTCTGTAAGTATCTGTAAATAGTTGGAACTAGAAATAAAGCATTTGCTGCCAAAGGTTCTCTTGACAGAAATACAGAGTTCCAGTATGCTTGCTTGATTTAAAAAGCACGGAGGCAGGGCAAGAGCAGAGATAAGATGCAGCACAGCTGTTTTTGAAAGTGCATGTCTCAGATCAAACTACTCAGGATTTGGAGGCTGCTGATTCCAGGGGAAGGGAGAACCCAAGCTGCTTTTTGGGGACCCTTGACAATTACCTCAGGCAGCAGATGAGATGAGAGCAGTAGCAGCTTCCCATCATTTCTCATAAACTCTAGATATTCTTTGAAAAATCCTATGATGTTCAAGCTGGCTTGGGCCCCATCTACAGTGACCGTTTAATGCAGTTGAAAGCTAGCTTCAAACTGCAGCGGCCAGATAACCAACTCTAATAAAAGAGTGAAATAACTTTCTTCAATACTGGTTTGAAAGTGCATTAAACTGTCAGTGTAGATGGCCCTCTAGACCGCCCAACCAAACCATCTGCCTCAGACCTGGTGGATTGCATTTTCGTTTCCCAGTGTTGAAATACTGTTCTGCATCCAGTCCAATAATGTTCTTTGAACTAGGAAGATGGCACCATCTTGCTCTCTGCTTCGGGCAGGAAAATGTCTCAATATAGGTTAGGATGTTAGGCACAGAAAAAAAGACAGAACTTGTATTGGCAAGTTCTTTTGTGAAAAGATAGTAGTCAATTGCTAAAAATCTAATCCATTAATCAGTTCATAGAGCAATGACAGCTTTCAGAATACTTCTTCCTTCGTGACAAAAAGGTGGGCCAAGGCATGTGCAAGCTATTAATTCCTTGCTTTCAGGCAAGTCAGATACTTCAATCCTAAGAACTTTGGTGAAGATCTATAATGATTCCCTAAGGCCAGAAAGACGTCATTCTTGTTTCTGTGTATAGTTGACATACAGTTCATTTTGGGGGGTAGAAGAGCAGGTCTTTGATTCAAAGAAACATGCCCTCAAAATATGTGGTAACCTTTTCTTCTAAGATATCATCTTTCCCCCTCATTATATCTTCACTCTGTTCTGTTTCTTTTCTAATTGAGAGCACAGCGGTAAAACCTGTGCTTATCATTCTTTTATATTTAACTGTCCATCCTCCTGTAGGCAATGTGAATGGCTGTTATTCAGGGAAAAAAGTATGGAGACCATGCTACATATGTGCAACTCTGTCCAAATACAAAGGCCCACATATGTTTAAATCCCAAAGGAGTTTTAAAAGTCATAAGTAAAACTAACTTTTCATTTAGTAGAGGCTGGTTTTATCAAGTTAAGTGCTGCACTTAGGTGAATTAAAAAACCAAGGGGCATCAAAGGACAGTTAAAGGATTCACAATTTAACTGTTTTTCTTTAGTAATGTAGCATTAGAATAATTACAATATCTCATATACTGTATATATATTTAGGGAAATAGTATTTTGCTCAGATTTGTTTTGAGTGGAAAAGTGATTTTTAATTTGATTTAAACAACATTCTATATAGGTTGTTGTAGTTTTTCGGGCTGTATGGCCATGTTCTAGAAGCATTCTCTCCTGACGTTTCGCCTGCATCTGTGGCAAGCATCCTCAGAGGTTGTGAGGAAGCTTGCCACAGATGCAGGTGAAACGTCAGGAGAGAATGTTTCTCGAACATGGCCATACAACTCAATCCAGTGATTCCAGCCATGAAAGCCTTCGACAAAACATTCTATATCATTTTTCTTAATTATGAAATTATTCCTTGATACTTTATCCTTATAGTTAGTCTTGTCTTAGTCATCACAAAAAATGAATGAAATACATTATGACCCCTGTCATCATAGGCATCTTGGTATTCGTCCCTATGAGCGTCCTGATCCTTGAACATTCCATGCTTCATTCAAAAAAAAAATGCTGCGCTTGCAGAGCTCAGACGGTGCTGACCCCTTTCTCTGCAGGACCATTAACCACACTTTTATGTACTTATATCTAATAATAAAATATCTCCTCTCTAAGTATTTAGTAGGTTCTCTAGACAATTCTATGGTATGATTTCATTAAAAGTTGACTGTACAGTCAGTAACAACCTAGTGATTCCTAGGAAGTTGCCCTTTCTAAGCATTTTCTAGGTCCTCCAGTGTGAGTCTCTACCAGTGGTTCCCAACCTTTTTTTGACCAGGGATCACTTGACCAGGGACCACTTTGACCAGGGACCACTCTCAAACATTAGTATCAAAAGTGTTACGAATCAGTTTTTGGTCCACTTTAGATTTGGTTTGGTTACTTGGGTGCTGGTTCAGAAAATTGCATTAAATAGATCACATCAGCTCTGGTTTTTCATACATAACATATATCAGTAGTCGCTATATGCTCACCCACAGTAAACCATATTTAATAATCTAGAGCTGATATGGTAGTAGTAATATTTCATGGGTAGCTTCTCTTCTCCTGACATCCCCATTGCCTCAGCACTATAAGAGGGTTTGGTGAAACCAGTTGGTCTTGTTTCTGTGTGGTTTTGAGGCAACAGTGTAGTAATGGTGAAGCCGCGGACCATATTTTCATTCTTGTGGACCACTGGTGGTCCACAGACCACAAGTTGGGAACCACTGGTCTATACTATGCTTCCTCTGGGGGTTGTTTGTTCAATGGATTTCACTTTTTCCATAGTTTTGTGTATCTGTGCAAAGTTGTGGGATAGATCCCCTCATATACAGGGGTTGTCCTATACAAGTAACTAGTTGTAGAAAGAACTAGTATAAAAATGGGGTCAGTCATCATTCTCTTGAGAAAATATATGTGAATTTTATGCTTATTTATTCCAGAGATGCATCTGGCTTCCTTTAATTTTTATGGAAATGGCATTTTGTAGATTTTTGGGGTAGTTAATGCATCAATCTTTAAAATATATTACATATTCTAATTTGACTATGGAAAGAAGGAGGAAGATCTTAAGGATTAGTGTGTGAGCAAAAAAATGAGTTTTAGAACAGTCTCTCATGATCAGACCCTTTTGACTTTTGGCCATTTTTTATGTTTGTCTTTGATTAACAGGAGCCAGAGACAAGTGTTCCTCAGCGTTCTCCAGATGTTCTTCATTTGCCCAAAGATGCTCATGGAGATTTGGACTGCGAGAAATTAGTTGAGCAGTTAAAGGAATGTCCCACTTTGCATGACCAGGCAGATATATTATACATCTTGTGTCTATTAAAGTATGTTTCAGTTTACATTTTATAAACAAATCTGCATTTATTTTAAAACAGTGATGTTTTCTGGAAGAAAAAGCACCATGCTATGCTAATTTTATGTGAGAATGCTTCTATACGTGAGTCTGAAAGCTGGAATCACATTGCTTTTCTCCTCTTTTTAGTGGGTAGGAGCAGATATGTGCCTGCAATGGCTCTGTGAAGATCTTTCTATTCTTATCAGCCAGTACAAAAGTATTGTGCCCTGCTGGTCCTTCAGGTTATAGCCTTCAGGTTAATTTACTTATTAATAATGCTTTAAAACCTTTGCTTTTAATGCCAGCACAAAATAATTTGCAGTGCCACCTGGTTTTTATTCAAATAGTCCATGTTAATTTTGTGGAGCTGACCATTCCACCTGCCAGAGCACAATCGAGACATTGTAGCTGTTTGCTGTTCCCGTGCGTTGCTATTTTTGGACCTAGGGCTACATTCATGTCAAGATCTTTTGAACATGGATGAAGTGCTCAAGTACTTGTTCAACATTGAGGTGATGAGTAATGCTCTCGACCTCATTGAAAACCTCAGCAAGCAATTCTTGATTAAGCATAGGAACAATTCAAGGGGACTGTGGGAGGTTAAATGTCAGAAACCTATCAATTTTTAATCTGATTTGATTTGTCAAGTGATTTTAAAAATTACAGTTTTTGCACATTTCAAGAGGGAGCTTTCAGCTATTTCTCTCTGCAGTCTTTCTGAAGAAAATATCTCAATGTAGCTATAGCTTTTCTGTAAAACACATCTAACCACTAATATCATCACTCTCTTTTTCTCTCTAAGAGGTCTTGACTGGGAAACACAGCTCCATGGTCAATGTGGAGTCACCGTTCATTGCCTCCTCAATGAGCTCTACAGCAAAGCAGGCCTGAACCAAGAATGGGGATTGATCCGCTATATTTCTGGCATACTCCAAAAAAGAGTGGAGGTCCTAGCTGAGGTACAAACCATAGGATATGCTAGATGTGACAATGACATCTTGAGAGCCACCTATAGTAAGCCCACAATACATGAGTTCACTGAACACGGTTTCATTTACACACAAAGAGCTTCAAATACCATAAAACTGATTGGAAGGACCTAGAAAATGCCCGGAGGACTGTTACCTATAGGCTGCCATTGTGGTTCTGTGGGCAACTTCCCTAAGTATTTTCCAGGTCCTCTAGAGTGATTCCATGGTATACCATTGTTCATTTTAGGTAAGAAAAATAAGGTTCTAAATTAGGCGAAAAACATACTACATGAAGGATCTTAGAATGGATCCGTTGTGTAATACACAGGCCTACCTCTTCCTGGCCAAGGTAGTGGTGATATTCCGGGAATTGTAGTCCAATAAACTAATTTTCCAAGACTTTCCAAACAGAGGAAATTGGTAACTTTCACCTTGCTGTGGTTTTCCCCTTTCCGCTCTAGAGAAATACAAGAAGTTCTTCCTTTCCTTCTTGTTGGCCTTAGCAGTGGCAGGTAGTGCCAAGAAACACAACAATGGAATTACTATAGAGGTGTTGTCTTGGAAACTTGGAAAAGTACAGCATCATAGGCTATGCCTTCTGGAATGCTTTAGGAGTTAAAGACTGATAAAAATAACTTTCCAAAGCTTTGACTTTTTAAAAATAGTTTTGAAAATTCTATTAAAATGTAATTTAATATAACATACTGTTTTGTCTAGTGTATAGTGAACCTACTGCCCTTACTTTCTCTTTTCTTTATGCTAGGCTTGCACAGACCTCCTGTCACATCAGAAGCAACTGACTGTTGGCTTGCCTCCTGAACCTCGTGAAAAAACAATCACAGCGTAAGAGGGCATGTTATTCTCAAACTATGGCCTTGCTTCTCCCTGTTCTTCTAAGTTTGTCTTTATTTTATTTCCTCCTGCTTTTTTTCTTCTCAAAAATTATGCTGAAACATTACATTTTTAATATGTGACATGGCGCTACCTTGCAAGATATTTTTAGGCAGAAATACTTGTAGGATTCAATGAAATAAAAAAAAATAGAAGTGTAGTAAAAGTAGTTCATCAGATTGTCTCTGCAACACTAGAAGAAAGTAATATGTTAAAGTTCAAAAAGTTATTTAGGAACATAGGGAAGCAAAATCAGTGCAATGGAAGGCTTACTAGCAAGAGCAAGGTTGTCATTTATTGCTCAAGGAATAACATGGATCCAATGGGTCCCATTCTTTCGAGGTCTGAATAACATGGCCCATTATTGCACCCTATTATATTCTAGAAGCCAGTATGCTGAGCACTTTTGGGACATTGTCTTTGAAAGCATTATCTGACTATACTTTGAATCATGGAGTGGTGTTTGTGTTGGAGGAGAATACATATGGGATTACACTATGTAACCTGGTTTTTGTTCCTTGGTTATAAATGTCCTTTCCTAATTCTTTCGATCATAAAACTGTGGCAAAAGTTTATTAAACTGCAAAACAAAAAACAACGTTTTGGTGGTCTGCACAAAAGATTAACAGTGGCATATGGCATTGAATGCTTGCCATATGTGTTGGAAACTGCCTTGAGACCCTTCAAGGAGATAGGGTGGTCTACAAATAAATTATTATTATTATTATTATTATTATTATTATTATTATTATATATTATTATTATTATTAAAAATGGCAGCCACAAAAACAAAGTTTCTGGAATATAACCACTACTTTCAAAGTAAGTACCACACAATTAAACAGGAAATAACACTTTCAAATCAAGAACAATTTTTTTTCAAATTTTGTTGCATAGTTTTATTTACTCTCATTGAAAAAAAAATTAAATTAAAAGAAACATTCTCGTTGGACTTTGGTCTTGGGTGCCAAAAGCATTTTCCCTTGCAGTCCTTAATCACGGGTTCATTTTCTTTTAGGCCTTTGCCACCTGAGGAACTTACCAAACTCATCTATGAAGCCAGTGGCCATGACATCAGCATCGCAGTCCTTACACAGGTAACACGGAAAACAGCCTTTCTGCACATTTCAGGTTGCACTTTGCGTTTTTCTCATTGTGCTGCACTTTATGTATAAACCAGTGTTTCTTCTTTCCATTCCACTTTCCTTGATAGGAAATCATGGTCTACTTGGCAATGTACGTCCGGTCACAGCCCAGTCTCTTTGCAGAGATGCTCAGGCTCCGCATTGGGCTCATTATTCAAGTGATGGCCACAGAACTTGCTCGCAGCTTGAATTGTTCAGGTCAGGCTATTCTCTTTGCTATAATAATTCAGCCATAGAAAATGTACAGCAGACTTTCAATTCACAGGGATTAGGGCCTCAGGATTTTGGGAAATGCGCCTGTAGCTGCTGAAACACATTTTTAAAAAGTGTAATCTTGAAATGATTTACACTAGGAAGTCTTAAAATTGAGATAAAATGTGTTTTCTGTCGATCACACAGATGCCCCTTTTTACAAGTATTCTTTTCCTATTTGTTCCTGCATTGGGTTGCTGTAGGTTTTTTCGGGCTATATGGCCATGTTCTAGAGGCATTCTCTCCTGACGTTTTGCCTGCATCTATGGCAAGCATCCTCAGAGGTAGTGATTCTGGCCATGAAAGCCTTCGACAATACATTGTTCCTGCATTGTTTATGTTCTTCACAAAGTCTGCTGCATATTTCATACTAGCTTGGGGACCCGGCAGTGCCCAGGTTATTTGAAGAAGGCATTGTTTGTTTTGGGGTGTTAAGTCATATCAGTTTTAGTCTGTCTTTCCTGATTTTTTATGAATGTTCCCATTAGAAAATGCATATGGATGTGGGTGAACTACAATTCCCAAAACTGTGGGTCAGTCCTCCACAAACCAGATCTTTATGCACAGTTGACCATGCTGGGTCTGAGTGCCATGTTTGGTCCAGATCTGACATTGGCTGGGTTCTCCTTGGCAAATGTCATCCAGATCCATCATTGGTTGGGTTCACAGTACTCTCTGGGTGTAGGTGAACTACAACTCCTATAAATCAAGGTCTGTTTTCCCCAAAACCTCTTGTTCAGTAGCTGATCAATTCCAGTTTGCTGTGTTCCATAGGATGGGATAGGAAAGGGTTAAGGGAAAGGCAGTAGGCAGGGTTATGCAAATTCCACAGCAATTCAAAAAGTAAGGAACTCTGGGATATCCATTCTGGAGGAAGAAATTGTCCTCTAAGAAAGGCTTCACTTGGGTGGTGGGCAGTATGGTGTTTGGGGAGTGCATTGGCAGAGGTTGGGAGACATGTTCATGGTGCACACTATAACCTGCAGTGTCATTGGATGGAGAGCTTTTGGTGGCTCTTGAGCACTGTGGGTTATAGCTGTTTGTGGAGGCAACAGGTTGTCTGTGTGAGTAGACACCTCTGCCACATACACGTTTTCACTTTTATTATGTGTATAAATAGATGTTTAATGTTTAACAAATGGAAAACCCAGAAAAATAAGCATGTTAAAGCATTTCAGTTTATTTAACAGCAAGTGGCACGTGTCCAAAATTCTACTTTTAGAAACAGGTGAAGAAAAACTTAAAAGTGAACAGTGCTCTTTGTTGATTCTAGATACGAACCTGAGATCTGTGATTCAAAGGTAAAATCCTGCTGTGTGAAAAATTTGTGCTATTTATTCCCACTGATACAAAATAATGCCATTCTCTTCTAATCCAATTATGTGGAATTGTTGTTCATTCGTTCAGTCGTCTCCGACTCTTCGTGACCTCATGGACCAGCCCACGCCAGAGCT